CAACCTATGTCTATCTGATATACTAAAGGTGGAAGTAATACAACGAGACTTCACCCGCAAAGTACTTAAGACTGACTCGGTCATTGACTACAGTTCTCGATGCCAAGTCTTTGGAATAGCACCTCTTTGGGAGAGAAGGCTTAAGTCTAATTTGATTCTCTACTTCAAACTACTCAAAAACCTTACTTACTCAACATGTCAGATAATTCTTGCCCGAGATTCACATGAATACGGACTTCGAAACAAAGTATCTACGGTCAAAGTTGAGAAATACAGATCAAAAACTAGGGAAAACTTCTTCCTCACCAAGTATGCAATAATATGGAACAGTCTTCCCTTCGAAACTCGCATGGCAGATGAATTACATACGTTTGTAAAACTGCTTGATCAACCCCTCACTTGCACTAATCTTGCACGTACGAACACATCTTCGCCCCACTCAGACATCATAGGCTCTCTCCATGTCTAGACCAAAATGGACTTCAAGTTCAGTTTGCCTTATTTTTCCTACTTTGCAGTTGTATTAATTACTTTTTCCACCCCATTTCTTCACTTGAAGTAGACAGGTAACTCACTGGACCTATCATTACTGTTAAACTAAACTCGGTCGATAAGGGACACTCACTACCACCCTAAAAAGTCAAGAGGACCCGACAATCGGCTGCCTACTACCAGTGGTCTTGCATCTATGGAACTTGTTACCAATCAACTGGTTAAGACAACAGAAAATAACATCAGCACCAAGTTACTGTGAGTTCCTTCCTGTTTATCCTATATTAACTTTTTACTCTTCTGTACACAATGTTGACTAGCAATTAATATTATTTCTCCACTCGATCCCTTATCCACAACTCATACTTCTATACTTTTTCCGCCTGCTTAAATAAACAACTATCCTACAATATACCCTTCTTAACGCTTATACTCTGTTTGGCAAACTATACTTTATACTATAGTCAACAGAGGCACTGCATCGATGCTTTACCCACAGTCCACAGCTTGTAACTGCCTGATAAGCTTGTAAAATGGTACTTAAATAAATAGTGCTTTCCAACAAGTTGTGAAACAGAGGATTGTGTGAGGTATGACGTGTATACAAAAATAAGCTTAAATGAGCTTAACATCACAAAAGGAGGGAGGGTGGAGTTACTGACCAGCAATTGCTGGTCAAAAAGGGGAAATAAAGGGGAAAAAGGGGGAAATAAAGGGGTAAATGCTATGGTAACGAAAGGGGAAATATAGGGGAAAACGCGCCAGAATGTCGCCTTTTTCGCCTGTCCGGGGGAAATAATGCGGATTTTCCCCTTTTTCGCCTTTTTGTCGACAAATTACGGACTTATCGCCTAAATATCCGCTGAATTTTCGCATTTCCGCCTAAATATCCGCTGAATTTTCGCATTTTCGCCTAAATATCCGCTAAATTGTCGCATTTTCGCCTAAATATCCGCTGAATTTTCGCATTTTTGCCTAAATATCCACTGAATTTTCGCATTTTCGCCTAAATATCCGCTGAATTTTCGCATTTTCGCCTAAATATCCGCTGAATTTTCGCATTTTCGCCTAAATATCCGCCGAATTGCCTACTTATGCGCTTAATTGTCTACTTTTCGCCTAAATACACACATTACCTACTATTTTCTATCCATCGACAGAACCCCAAAGGTCTCCTATGTTCGCCTTTATTTTCAACAACAGACCAAAATATATCTGCAATGCAGTAGAAAAGTGGTAAATATTTCAAAAACTTTATTGAAAAAGAAAAGCGTATTATTGTACAACAGTAGAGCACAAGGTGAAGCATCGATTGTTATGCATATCCAATACAATTGCTAATACATTGTTATTTGAAATTATCTGAAAAAGAACGAACAGGTTATAATATATTCAAAAGAAATGTGCATTTAATCAATAGTTCACTGAAACTCAAACACACATTCTCAACACTTCAACAGTTTCCCATGTACGTAAAAGAGTAAGCTGTTTGAATGAATAATGTTTATTGAAATCGAGGTACAACATCAAAGCATTTGCTCGGACTAATCACAATTGGGGTAGTCGTCCTGTGAATTCTGAATTTTAAAAAAAAACAAAAAAAGTCACAACCATATCTCAATGACATGCTTTTGCACAACCAAATACTTGAAGCTGAACTTACGGTTATGTTCGTCAGTATTGTTGACTGTAACTATAGAGCCGTAGGGAGGTTATCACTTTAAATTAGTACCTACCTGATTTTCTTTTCTTCTATTTCGTTTAATCATCTTGTCTCGGAGGTCGTGAAAGTAACCTTGTGTCGCTATGTCGTATAGCTTACCAAGGTCTTTCTCATTTACAGAGGATGACAAAAAACGATGAGTTAAGGCACCTGAAGTTTAAGTAATAGATATAGGTTACTTCGTATGCAGCTGTAAAACGTGCATTTATGTAGTGCTCGTTTAGAAGAGGTGCCAAGTAACGTGAATTTACTGGCAACCTCCGGTGTCAGCAGATGCGACAGAATAAAACGCATGGACGTTTTTGGATCGTCACCTGATAACCTAGTGACCATTGCCATCTGTAATAGTAACAAATTATTAAATTCATGTCAATGACTTACAAATCTGTCCCTGGTTTCTTTCTGCGACAAACCAGTGTCTAGCATCTGTAGTTCCTCTTCAGATGACAAAGGGAACTGCTGACTTGACAGTCCGCAATCGAATTCATGCGGTCTTTCGCGCTCATTAGACTTTGAAAGCAATTGGTTAACATTAACGTTCAAGTTCGTAATGGCGGACGACATGTTGTTAATCGTTTTAGTCAAGTCATTGATAGCTGACGACATCTTCAGCACCACAGCATGATAGGGATCTACGGAGGGAATAGTAAGCCGGCAGAATTCAACGAGTTTTCTGCGGACACAATTTCTGAAATAAAAGAAATGACTGACGTGGGTCTTTTTAGTGTAAAGTTTAATAAATGTATAGCTATTAGGTTGGCGGCTGTTATATGTGACGCACCTGCTCGTTCTTCTGTTAGGTACACGGTAAATCACAACGGTGAGGCAGGTTGCGATAGGTGTACTGTACTTGGGAGACGGCTGGAGGGGAAAACGACCTTCCCAAATGGAGTACATACCTTAAGAACAGACGACACCTTCCGTCGTCAGTCTCAATCAATTCACCATCAAGGACATTCTATTATGGAAACGCTTTCGATTGATATGATTTTAACTTTTCCTCTAGGTCCTATGCACATGGTGTACCTCGGTGTTACCAAAAAACTAGCTAATTTATGGATAGATTTAGCACGCCGAAGACTGCGCGACTTCAACTCATGTGCAATTAGGGACATAAATAATTTAATAACGGGTTGTGTGGCAAGTACTCCTTCTGACTTTCCCCGTAAATGCCGTACACTAGACTTTGTATCGGCATGGAAAGCTTCTGAATGTAGGTTGTTTCTTCTGTATTTAGGCCCGGTGATTCTTGAAAAAACATTGCCACAACCTTTTTATCTTAATTTCCGGCGTTTAGCGCTATCCATTTATCTGCTTGCACATCCGAAAATACATAAGAATGTTGTAGAAACCGCCAAATTAGATTTACTAAACTTCCTAAATGAATACGCATGGTGTTATGGGTGTGAAAACTTAGTTTACAATGTGCATTCGTTACAGCACCTCCCTGACGACGTTCGTGCACATGGACCTTTAGATAGTTTTTCAGCCTTTCCATTCGAGTCTTATATGAGACAAATTAAGAATTCCGTGCGTGGTGGGTTTGCAGTAGCTAAGCAAGCGGCACAGCGTTATGCTGAGAGAATGTCCTTCAGGGATAGGCTTCAAATTAGTGGTTTAACAAATACTACCACAATAGGCGCTAATGATGTCTCCATGAAACAAGTAATTATGTTTAACAACAGCAGAATAAGTTCATATAAACCGGATAATGTAGTAGTAGTTAACGGCCAGCCCGGTTTAGTTACTGACATAAAGGATGATGGACTACTAAAATTTAGGACTTTCATTGACCCACGCAATTACTTTGAAGATCCTTTCCCATCTAGTGATATTGGAATCTTTATGTGCTCCGTAGTTAGCCATGAATACACATAGGTTTCAGTTAAGAACATTGATTGTAAATGTATAGCCATCAATTGTACCAATTACATAGTTGTAATCCCATTGTTGCATACTTTATTGTAAATGCATTCCGTTTCATTAGTGTTTAATTAGTGATGATAAACCATTTACTTACGTCTTATGTTCTTTTCAGCCCACTAACAAGAAATACGTTATTGTTGACCCTCTTAAAAAAAACAACTTATGATAGCATCAAAAAAATGGATAGTTGGCAATGACCTTTGCGCTTTTCCGAATGAGATGGTCGATATACACCTTCAGAAGTGCGACCAACCTAATGACAATTGGTCACTTATGAAGTGTAAAGTTATTCATGAATTAGGTAAGCTACAATCATGGAAACTATAATTCACTATAGAATCTCTGCAGTCTGCAAAAGATCTGTTAGCCTCCCTGCAAATACTGCAATCTCACCTTGAAAACACTTCAACGGATGAAAACACTCTGCCGCATAACACTGAGAAGCCCAAGAGGTCTGTACAATAATCTTACTAACATTTCCTAGAGGTGTAATGAAACGTAAAGAAGATTTTCTTTACAATTCAGTAGACATGGATGTGGCTGAGATGCAGGCTGGGAATATCCGCGTACAATATCCCAAATTTCGTGTTTTCGACAAAGTGATATCTCCAATCGCCAAGTACGTTTAATTACTATTTATATATTCACTATGTAGTTCAACACAATTAGAGACATCACCATCGACATCGGAATGTAAGCATGTTGGTGGCGCTGTATTGGACCAGTAAGTGAACTGCATCATCTAGTGACCTTTTTCACCTGTGATAGGTTGTATGCTGTGGTGCTGAAGATGTCGTCAGCTATCAATGACTTGACTAAAACGATTAACAACATGTCGTCCGCCATTACGAACTTGAACGTTAATGTTAACCAATTGCTTTCAAAGTCTAATGAGCGCGAAAGACCGCATGAATTCGATTGCGGACTGTCAAGTCAGCAGTTCCCTTTGTCATCTGAAGAGGAACTACAGATGCTAGACACTGGTTTGTCGCAGAAAGAAACCAGGGACAGATTTGTAAGTCATTGACATGAATTTAATAATTTGTTACTATTACAGATGGCAATGGTCACTAGGTTATCAGGTGACGATCCAAAAACGTCCATGCGTTTTATTCTGTCGCATCTGCTGACACCGGAGGTTGCCAGTAAATTCACGTTACTTGGCACCTCTTCTAAACGAGCACTACATAAATGCACGTTTTACAGCTGCATACGAAGTAACCTATATCTATTACTTAAACTTCAGGTGCCTTAACTCATCGTTTTTTGTCATCCTCTGTAAATGAGAAAGACCTTGGTAAGCTATACGACATAGCGACACAAGGTTACTTTCACGACCTCCGAGACAAGATGATTAAACGAAATAGAAGAAAAGAAAATCAGGTAGGTACTAATTTAAAGTGATAACCTCCCTACGGCTCTATAGTTACAGTCAACAATACTGACGAACATAACCGTAAGTTCAGCTTCAAGTATTTGGTTGTGCAAAAGCATGTCATTGAGATATGGTTGTGACTTTTTTTGTTTTTTTTTAAAATTCAGAATTCACAGGACGACTACCCCAATTGTGATTAGTCCGAGCAAATGCTTTGATGTTGTACCTCGATTTCAATAAACATTATTCATTCAAACAGCTTACTCTTTTACGTACATGGGAAACTGTTGAAGTGTTGAGAATGTGTGTTTGAGTTTCAGTGAACTATTGATTAAATGCACATTTCTTTTGAATACATTATAACCTGTTCGTTCTTTTTCAGATAATTTCAAATAACAATGTATTAGCAATTGTATTGGATATGCATAACAATCGATGCTTCACCTTGTGCTCTACTGTTGTACAATAATACGCTTTTCTTTTTCAATAAAGTTTTTGAAATATTTACCACTTTTCTACTGCATTGCAGATATATTTTGGTCTGTTGTTGAAAATAAAGGCGAACATAGGAGACCTTTGGGGTTCTGTCGATGGATAGAAAATAGTAGGTAATGTGTGTATTTAGGCGAAAAGTAGACAATTAAGCGCATAAGTAGGCAATTCGGCGGATATTTAGGCGAAAATGCGAAAATTCAGCGGATATTTAGGCGAAAATGCGAAAATTCAGTGGATATTTAGGCAATAATGCGAAAATTCAGCGGATATTTAGGCGAAAATGCGACAATTTAGCGGATATTTAGGCGAAAATGCGACAATTTAGCGGATATTTAGGCGAAAATGCGAAAATTCAGCGGATATTTAGGCGATAAGTCCGTAATTTGTCGACAAAAAGGCGAAAAAGGGGAAAATCCGCATTATTTCCCCCGGACAGGCGAAAAAGGCGACATTCTGGCGCGTTTTCCCCTATATTTCCCCTTTCGTTACCATAGCATTTACCCCTTTATTTCCCCCTTTTTCCCCTTTATTTCCCCTTTTTGACCAGCAATTGCTGGTCAGTAACTCCACCCTCCCTCCTTTTGTGATGTTAAGCTCATTTAAGCTTATTTTTGTATACACGTCATACCTCACACAATCCTCTGTTTCACAACTTGTTGGAAAGCACTATTTATTTAAGTACCATTTTACAAGCTTATCAGGCAGTTACAAGCTGTGGACTGTGGGTAAAGCATCGATGCAGTGCCTCTGTTGACTATAGTATAAAGTATAGTTTGCCAAACAGAGTATAAGCGTTAAGAAGGGTATATTGTAGGATAGTTGTTTATTTAAGCAGGCGGAAAAAGTATAGAAGTATGAGTTGTGGATAAGGGATCGAGTGGAGAAATAATATTAATTGCTAGTCAACATTGTGTACAGAAGAGTAAAAAGTTAATATAGGATAAACAGGAAGGAACTCACAGTAACTTGGTGCTGATGTTATTTTCTGTTGTCTTAACCAGTTGATTGGTAACAGGTTCCATTTACCCCTTTATATCCCCCTTTTTCCCCTTTATTTCCCCTTTTTGTGTTGTTTGGGTATACACACCCTTCTAATAAACCGCTTCCCTTGTACCAACCTTAACTTCCCATCCTTCATGTGAGCTTACTCCAACTTGTTATACATCACTACTCGTTGTTCTTTATTAGTACATTCTCTAATATGGAGCCTCTGACTTCACTTCACTCTAACAAGACATAATATGAATTTATTATACCTCTGTCCGTTCTACTACACAATGTTAAGCAACCTTTGGCGTTCATATCCATGTGCCTTGCTGCTCCTCTGTTTCTTTTTTTTTTCTCCTTCAGAATCTTGCTCTGAGAGCACAGCTATGAAACTTCTGACGTTTGGAGCAAACTTAACGTACGCGTCCTCTCAAGGTCATAGTTTACAGCAAGCGCTCTACGATTTCACTTTATAACAACTATAAACTTAATAAGTTGGGAAGGATTTTGCGAACCAACAAATGTTGTAATTTATAGATCATGCCTGTAAAAACGGTGTGTACCTGCACATGCAGAAATATATTATTATTACCTTAAATATGGAAAAGTCAACAGGATCAGATGAGCTACACCCCAAAATCTTGAGACATATTGCACAATATATCGCAGCCCCACTGACTGTGATATTGAATATGCCACTTGAAGAAGGTGTGTTATCTATGGACTGGAAGGACGCACTCGTCACTCCTATACATAAAACGGGACCAAGACAAGTTCTATCGAACCACAGACTTGTAAGCCTCACCAGTGTTGTAGTTAAAATAGTGTAAGGAATAGTCAATTGGACCGCAATGGCATTTATGGAAACCAATAACTTGCTAAACATAGAACAAAATGTTTTTAGAAGGGATCTATCCTGTACAACGAACCTTCTTGTGGCAAGGGAATTTGGGATAAAGGCGCTAGACAACAGAAACTCAGTAAATGTTGTCTACATAGACTTCAGTAAAGCTTTTGATAAGGTGCCAACTAGTAGATTGCTATTGAAGTTGGAAAACCTTGGTATTGCCGGACCTCTTTTAAAATGGATTAAGGAGTTCCTAGTAGGTCGCAGGCAGAAAGTAAGAATAAATTCCAAGTGCTCCATCTGAAGGCCAATACTTAGTGGAGTACCTCAAGGTTCCGTCCTAGGTCCTTTAGTTTTTATAATGTATGTTAATGATCTTCCAAGTATAGTACAGTCTCCAATGTTATTATACGCTGACAATGTAAAGATCTGGTGAGTAGTAACTTGAGACACAGACGCATGTGCTTTTCAGGCAGACTTAAATAATGTGATTAACTGGTCCAAAGAGTGGCTGATGCTTATCAACGCGGCAAAGTGTGTCTACATGCACTTGGGGGATTCAAAGAATAATAGGTACAACATAGGAGAAGTGCCGTTACCCGTGGTTCGGTCTCATAAGGATCTAGAGGTGACAGTGAGTCATGATCTTAAGACGACGGCCCATTGTCGGGAGGTTGCAGCTAAGGGGTTTCGAACCCTTTGGGCTTTAAAATGGACATTCACTAAGTTAGATTCTACCATGTTCGTCACAGCATATACATCCTTAGTAAGAACTAAGCTTGAGAACTGCGTTCAAGCTGCAAGCCCATGTTTAAAATGTGACTCGGATATCCTAGAAAAGGTACAGAGGGCAGCTACCCGTGCAATTCCAGAACTCCGGGGTTTATCATATAAAGAGCGGCTTGAAAAGCTGAACCTCTTTACTCTGTCCTATCGCAGATTAAGGGGAGATCTAATTTCGATGAATAGAATACTGAGAAATGATTTCGGACCTAACTTATTCTCTCTCTTTCTTCCCACTAGATCGGGACACCTCAGAGGACATAGCAGCCGAGTAGAAAAGCCAAGAACGAACAAAATACCCGTGGCATACAGGTTCTCACACCGAGCCATCAATACTTGGAACCTGCTGCCCGAAGCAGTGGTGTCCGCACCCTCAATCGACTCTCTCGAGAGAAGACTTGACACTCACAGAAGCATACTAGAAAAGGAATAACATAGGCCGTAGGCCTTCTATCCTTAGCACACAAATTTGAAGCCTAATTTATCGATATTTTTTGTACCTAATTATACTTAGGTTCCTTACTTGGGCATCAGTGACCCACTGCCACTAGAAATAGAAGCCAGATAAGCGAAAGCTTTTTCTATTCCATGCACATCCACTCTGTAACCGCGCGATTTTCGAACGGGAAGTTTAGTCCTAACGTGATTTGCATATATCAAACTTTTGCTGTGTTCTTACGCAACAAAAGTACCATTTCAGTTCTAAAAAATCTATCCTGAGCTATACGTTCGGTAGATTACTTTTTTTGAGTTTCACTATATTTAATAGTTACCTGTGGTTTTGCCTCAGCTTACCATTCGGTTTTTTTTGTTTTTCACGTATAGACTAGTTTCAGTTTATATCACTCGTTTTGTCCGTTTTTATCCGTTTTCAGTGTGCATTTTAGTGTTTTTTTTAAAAAAGGTCTTAAGCTTTTGCCAGCATCTATAACATAGTTTGCTTCAACACCGTCATGAAAAACTCATGCAAACGTCCGGGATGCCGTTTTGCTGTCACAACTGGCATGCAGTGTGACAACTGCAAAGGTTGGTTTCACGAAGCATGCACAAATCTGACAGCAACTGCTTACAACAAACTCAGCAAGTCAGACCAAAAGTGGGTATGTGTCACGTGCAACACGGACGCAGTAGTCTTGCTGAGTAACATCACTGTCCTACTGACAGGTCTTCGAAACGAGCCGTCAGTTAACTTGTTATACGACAGTAAAAAAACCGATATACAAGCAAGAGCGCGCAACGGACTCAAAAATAGGGATGTCGATAGGTATGTCATCGATGGAGCATCCATCAACACTAACGACGACGTGTCGAGGCTCAGTACCATCATTACGTCGACGGTACTAGACTCCCTAGGCAAACTCGGGTCTCCCAGCTCAGGGTCCCTGAACACAACAGTGGTTCCCAAAAACCCTGCAGGCGATTCGACCCACGTTAAGAGAGCCCAAAAGAACCAGGCTAAGCCGAGCAACCCAAGTGTTGCTGCACGGAAAATAACTGGTGATTTAGTCGCACAGTCTACCCCCAAGACTGTTCGTCCGGTCAATAAAGAGCCCAAGATTCATAAACGCACACTGACCTCCAAAAAACAAGTTATTAAACCTGAACCCATCGTGAAACCTGGTAAATTAACAACAGTTCGTGACGATTCTCTCATTATCATGAACCTCGTCGACAATCCTGACCTTCCTCTCAGTCTGCAGGATAAAAACGACAGGATGCTGTGGGGTGAATTGAACAAAAAGCTCGAACTTCCTATAATAGAGCCTTTGACGGTCACCCGGCTCACTCGAGGAAAGGATTCTAAGCATCTAAATCACCCGAGGCTTCTCCGAGTAACACTTAAGAATGCTACCGACGTAGAGGACGTCTTGCTAGCAAGTCACTTACTGAAATTAGATGGTAACGTAAGAATATTGCCCGACATACCGTACTCTGAGCGCAATATCATACGAAACGTCCCTAAAGAATCTCGCGAGAAGTTCTTCCGCGGAAGAAACATAATTGTCCAAGGTATACCGGAAAATGCAGACCCTACTCAATCAAATTCTGACATCAGGGAATGGAAATTCATCAAACAGTCCTTGAGGCTCAAACACATACTGACTCAGCATGTGACGAGACTAGCCAAGAAGGACGGTGATCTTAGACCCCGTCTAATGAAGATAACCTTCCCATCTTCCCACATGGCGGCTGCAGTTCTGGAAGCATTTCGTGCTAATAGACGTCGATTGCCACCTGGAATCCACATGCACCCGGATAGGCCATACGAAGTCAGGACCAAGAACAAAGGCAAGCTGGAGCTGACCATTCCACTTGTGGACTGTCTAAACGATAAAAAAACGTGTAAAGGACAGGGCCTACCACCTCGGCAAACCTCATATAGGTGGGCTACCTGTCCATTCACATAAGGTTCAAACAGAAAAACAGGACGAAGCTCATGCGTTCCAAATTGAAAGCATAAACTGCTTATATACGAACGCCGCGAGTTTACCAAACAAACTGGATGAACTACGTGAACTTAGCGACGCTAACAAGGCCCATCTGATAGGAATATCTGAAACCTGGACATTTTCTCAGTTCTCGGATCAAGAGTTAGCATTGCCTGGGATGACTTTGTTCCGCAACGACAGAAAAATAGGAATTGGGGGCGGAGTAGCCATATACATAAGCTCTTGCTTGGAGGTGCACCAGGTTCACAACCTCGAGTTTAACAATCTTGAGGAATCCATATGGTGCTCTGTAAGGTTGTCTAGTACTTCCAGGTGTCTAGTCAGAGTCATTTACAGGAAGCCAACTGCCGACACCGAGTACGATAGTCGTATGCTGGAAGGACTATCCCGCTCTATCCGTTTCGGTTTCACACACATCCTGATTCTAGGGGACTTTAATCTCCCTAGAGTCAACTTCGCGGAACACACGTACACTGGAGGCGACAACTCAACTGAAGCTCGGTTCTTCAACCTCATCGATAACTTGGGCTTATATGAAAATGTGAGGTCGGCAACTCGTTGGAGAAACAGTCAGACACCATCGCGCTTAGACTGTGTATTCACTAACGAAGAATTCCTAGTCGACAACCTCTCAATCCTGGCTCCTCTGGGAAAAAGCGATCATGCCGTCATAGCCTTCAGTTTTGTCATCAAAACTAAGCTAAGGTATCCCAACAATAATTTGCGATGGAATTTTAAACGGCTGAATGTGCGAGCTCTACATGACCATCTACAACAGGTGGCTTGGGATGTTCACCCTCAAATCGATGTGGATGGTCATTGGGACTTCTTGCTGCACACGCTCTTACGTGCTACAGACCATTCAGTTCCTCAAACGGTTCCCAAAAGCTTCAAGCCACCTACAGTAATCAAGAACCGTACCCTTCGCCTCCTAAGCCGCAAACGGCACTGTTGGGCGGAATACAAACGAACTAATAACGATGGAGCGTATAGGCAATACAAACATATCAGGAACACATGCACAAAGGCTATAAGAGAAGACAGGCTTCAGTACCAAACAAAGCTTATGGACAAATTCGCCTCTAACCCTAGAAGCCTATTCCGTTATGCAGCCTCTCTTCGTCAAGCCAAAACAGGAGTTTCTCAACTGCTAGGTCCTAACGGGCCGACCAACAACGATGGCGACGCCGCCAACCTTCTGGCGGCCCATTACTCTCAAACATTTCAACCGGCTGATATCAACTTTATCGACGACAGTTTCATCTGCAATTCCACAGGACTTTCTGAAGTGGACCTAAGCGCTGACTTGGTGTTCCGGAAACTGCAGCACTTAAGGCTTGACACTTCTCCTGGCCCGGACACGGTTCATCCTGCCATACTGAGGGAGGCAGCCTCAATCCTGGCAACGCCGCTTAGCGTGATGTTTTCACACTCGCTTAGCCGAGGCAAACTACCGGAAAATTGGAAGTTGGCTCACATCACACCAATTTTCAAAGGTGGTCGACGCAATGAACCTTCAAGTTACCGGCCGGTAGCTCTTCTGTCGTTACCTTCAAAACTCATGGAGTCCCTGATATGCGACGGTTTAAATGACTACCTACTGTCCTTAAATTTCTTCTCACCCCAACAGCATGGTTTCAGGAAGGGTTACTCTTGTATAACCAACCCGCTGACTGCGGTGGACAGATGGACAAGCATCCTCGATCGCAAGGGAAAGGTTGATGTCATTTACCTTGATTTCTCAAAAGCTTTTGATAAGGTTAACCACTTGTGTCTTATCAACAAGATCAAACGACTAGGTATCAAACCACCTCTAATCGACTGGCTTACTTCATACCTACAAAATCGACACTTTAAGGTTAGGGTTAATTTCACTTTATCTCAAGCTATGGAATGTCCTAGTGGGGTCCCCCAGGGCTCAGTACTAGGGCCTCTTCTCTTCTTGATCTACATAAATGATCTTCCTCAACAGGTAACGTCAGACTTATTACTTTTTGCCGACGACGTGAAACTTTGGAGAGAGATACGCAACCAAGACGATATACAGGCACTTCAAGAGGATCTGACTCGACTTCATAGTTGGGCAGACGATAACGGACTTACCTTTAACACTTCTAAGTGTAAAGTAGTCCATCTGCGACATGTCGCAAACTACAGTTACAACTTAGGAAACTCCTCTCTAGTAGTATCCCAAGTAGAAAAAGATTTAGGAGTCCTGGTGCCCCATGACTTAAAGTCTTACGCTAACTGTGACAAAAATGCCTTCCGAGCAAACCTTGCACTGGTAACGTTGAGGCGCATTTTTGGTCAGTTTGACGGAAGAACTTTCCACACAATCTTCAATAGTTTCATCCGTCCCCATTTAGAGTACGGAAACATAATACTCCCCCCTCACTCCAAAAGGATAAGGTCACTTTGGAGCGTATCCAACGGCGAGCCACGAAATCAGTTCGAGGACTCAAATCTAAGCCTTACGAAGAACGCCTCCGTTCACTAGACCTTTACCCACTAGAATATAGGCGTCTTAGAGGTGATTTATTAATGGCTTATAGTATTCTTAACACTTCTGGACATCCTCTTAAACACCTACTTAAGCTTAGTTCGAACAATAACCTAAGGGGTAACACCCAGAAACTGGAAACACAACATAGCAAGACGGAATGTAGACACAACTTCTACTCCTTAAGAGTTGTCAAAAGCTGGAACTCGCTGCCGGCCGAGCTAGTCCAAGCGACTTCTCAGGAGTCCTTCAAGAGGCAACTTGACCTATTCTTGAGGACCAAGGACAGCATCGCACTATGATTTACCAATTTCTTTTCCTCTTTTATTGTTAACATACCTAGGTTCCTGCCTGGAGGATTTGGTGATCCCCTGCTACTAGACACGGAAGCCTGTTAAGCGAAAGCTTCTTCTATTCCGTCCACAACCATTTGAACCATTTGAATATTGAAAGTTTGAAGGTCGAGACGAATTACGAATGTGTCGCTTGGATTTTGTCGATTTTCGCTTGACATATGGAAGAAAGTCTTTCTGAATCAACACCAGTGGATCTGTTTCCACAAGCCCTCCCTAAAATACCCTCAGATGCATCTTGTCCGAGATATCAACGAAAGCTGTCTGTAAGGGAAATAAAAATCCAACGATCCGAGGCTGGCAACAAATATGCAGCATTTACAAGACATTCTCGTGCTAAGGTGTGAAGAATTCCACTTTTTAAAAATCATATTTGCCAGACCTACTTTTAATTTTACTGTTTTAAGTTTTAATCATTATGAATTTTGATAACTTAGGCACGAGACTGCAAATTGACGCTTGAGTGTCCTCTGTTGCCATTTTTCAACAGCGCATGTATCGACGAAGATTGTCTGTATGTATCCAACCTCCTGGTACCATTGGGGCTGGATTTTCTAATTATGCAGTGAATGTATTAGCTAAATTAAGGCTTAAAGGTGAATTTTTCTATTGTTATTCTATCAATCTGCCCACATTATACGCTATTATGGACAGATATGACAGTTTACTATCCACTTTACACGACAATCATGAAGACCTAACTTTGAAACTTTCGTGATACCTCTCGACAGTAAAATATGAAAAGTTAACATCAGTGGTGAGATCTAAGGATGAAACATGTGGTATTCCTACAAGTCATCTGTTTTGTTCAGAGTTTACCCCTTCGCAGCTTTCACTAACGGTTATGAGCGATATAAATATTGTGAACTACTCGCGCCACATATGGGTGCTCATAAATTATGAATCAATACAATTTATTCCAAAGAGACTCATTGTATATAAAATCTTTATATCCCTACATTTCCATATACCGAAATATTTCTTTTGATCTATCCAAGTAACACAGCAGGCCATCACCGATATTTATTTTGCCAAAGTAATGATTACGAGGGCTGTTGTCTAATGTAATGTTTGGTGCTGTTATTTTGAAACCGTTTATAGCATTTAAAAATTACATCTAACTCCAGTAGCTTAATGTAGATCAGACAACAGGCTGGTTTAACTAAAACCATGGGAAGTCCTACCAATACTCGTATTTCAGGGGTCTATATTCAACATTCAAGTAAAGTACTGTTAACTAGTTTCCCATCAGTTGGTTCGGAAACCACGTTGTATGTAATATTCAATCAGAGTAAGAGATAAATGTTTGGCATGCAACGTGTTTGTGTTATCTTCGCTTTCCCTTCATCAGATTAGAGCGCAGATAAAATTGTTACCAACTGATTTCCAACAAAGTGTGCTCAACAGGTGTTACGGTACTTGCTGGCAACTTAGATGTGCGAGTTGAATGTCTAAGCACAGAGGATAGTGTTTTTGGTGATCGGAGACTAAATAACGGAGCTTGCACCTTGCAGCATTGTTGAGATCATGAACTACTATCAGTGGAAAGTATCAACATTCGACATAGTCGTGATTAATACTGCTTGGTGCCAGTTGTTCGGGATCCTGGCTTGAACGTCAATTAGACTAATAAAGGCGCGAATGTTTACATTATCACCAATTCTTTTGGTACGCTTGCTTGGATTCTGATTATAATTCTTTATGCCCCGAACTTGATGGTTAGCAAATTTGTCATCCTAAATTGGTTTATGTAGACAAGTCGTCTGAACCTACAGTAACCAAATATTAAACCAAGCTAACTTCAGAACTACTTATCAGTTAGTCAGAAAGTGTTGATGGGGATTATTTACATATACAAAAAATCGCAAACATAATGAATGCAGTCGCTGTTCTGTAGCGTCCCGTTTATAAACATAAGGTCTCTGTAGGTTCCATAAAATGCCTTGACAGAAGTTAGTTTATTCTGGCAGATCGCGACTGCAATATTGGGGGTTGCTGTTGTTGTTCGAGGTATTCCCTTCGTGAAGGACATAATATCGAAGCAAATTTTTAAAATGTTAGGATGCAATATTCACCGTTGTATATCTGGAGAGTATTTTGCACTGGATTGTATAGTATTAGGATTATTTGCTAGAAATATGGTATCTCAAAATGAGATAGGGTCTTCAGAATACTTCTCATGTCAGTGAGTCACAAGTCACTTGACTTTTTAGTATCACCAGTGTAATTGTTTGATTGGTATGCTGTTAGCCCGACCTAGATTTCCTTCATTTTTTTTAAAAAAAGAAATGCATTTGTAATGTCCCAGTGAGTAGAAAAATTAAATTTTCTTGCATTTCTTGACTCAGTGTAAGCCACTTTTGCAAAGAATAGATAACCAAATCGAAATTAATCCAAGTTTTGTATTTGGTTATTTATTCTCTGAAGTGGCTTACACTGAGCCACGAAACGTCAGAAAATTTAATTTTTCTACTCATTGGGATATTACAAATATATTAATTTATTTATAACAATCTATCCAATCCTCGATTTATTCGAAATTATCAAGTTAAACCTTGGTAATGATACCCACAAATTCATTCCTATTTGTTTCGCTTCAAGGTAGTATTTGATTCGAAACTTTATCGAACGTTTTATTGAAGTCATCGAAGATCCACTGGGAATTTTTTTATCTAAGTCACAATCTTGTTTTAAGTAAAATAGCTTTACAAAATATATGTATATCTCTTTTTGTCTTTCTGTAAGTTGTTGGCGTTTTATTTCTATGACAGTTCATGTGAATTCCTAAGTTATTATAGACCAAACTAATAACAAACTGTATTTGCTCGTTCTTAACAATTATTTTATGAATAAACGTTTTGTTTGCTTAATATGTGAGTGGTATTCATAAAATAACTAGATAGCTTACAAATATCTGCTTTAAAGAGAAACATAAGCATAGGATGTTTTTATTTTATTCTGCAGATAGTTTGTTAAATTACTGATCAACAAAGGAATAGAATGAAATAAACTACTGATCGATGTTATAGTTTTAATTTTTTTCTCATAACTGTTGCCAATTAATCTACTTAAGTTTACAGCACAAAAAATTCTACAAAATGCTAAGTACCTACCCTAACATTTTAAAAATGGCTTATTTTAACCCAAAAATTAGGCATTATGGAAGACAGCCTTCAGTTTAATCTCCTCTCGTGGTGACCCATGGGAGAAGTTTCATTTGCAAGAACTTCCAGAAGAAACGGCAAAGCGTTATCGTTATAACGCTATTAAGGGCAAGTGGATAGAAGATATCGTTCGTGTAAAAATCGAAAATTCACCATTCAATCGAGGTGCTATGAGAGAATGTTTTCGTGCGTAAGTTAGTTTACATTTATGTTGTAACATTTTCTCTTAAGTTGGGTATATTTTACCCGAAAATTTCAAAATGTTCTGGTAGATCTCCTAGAAAATAATCTTGCATGTTTTATCATTATATAGTCTAAGTGGTATAAGAGACGATCGTGAACGTCGACCTTAGACTGTTGCATCATTTCTACTCAGATTTATTAAAGTCGTAGCGAAAAAGAACACAAACCCTATGAAGACTATTTACCCGGACACTTACAAGCCAGAGATTATGACCAACTGATATCTAAATTGGTACCCTCACTCATTTCAAGCTAACAGTCGTTGTTTCTTAATGTCTAGCCCGTGTTTGGCTCGTCGAATAGGATTGTGCTCTAGGATTATCTGCTGAAGAAGAGAATACATGTGAAGTTCATTAAAATTTTGAAAACTACCCAAACATCTAAAACAGAGTAAGGACATACAACTATCTTTCCACTGTTCCATTCCAGCAGTGGGACTAGGTTTATTTATTTATTTAAACACATAAACATAAGTACAAAGAGGCACCAAATAGATATGCGCCACATAAATCATTCGATTTGTGTGAAGGCTGGGATATTGCACAGGTGCCCAGACCGAAGCAGATGGTGTTCTTAGAAGGCCACACCCTGAACCTTTGAACTGAAGGTCTGATCCACAAGGTAGTGGAGCAACGTCAGAAGATGCAGTCCCATGGTAGCCGGTGACCAACAACTGGTTCAGATGCCATTTGTTATCTCAATATACTGAAACCTTTGTGCACCATTGGTTTGGAATCCGGTTAAAGCGCCGGACATTCGCTTTTCGTCCTCTCAATTTCGTAAACAACACCCCCGCCACGGGAAGGCAGTGAGTAAGACTTCCCTGGCAGAGGCTGTATACGCGTGGCCATGTGAGAGCATTTCGAGAGGGAGGGCGGGCCCACCCCACTCTCGGCCATACCAGGGCATTCGGGGGCGTGGGACTAGGTTGTGTTTCCCAATCTCACCATTCCTACTCAGATTTACCATCAATGACATCCGAGAAGCAGCTCTGATGGTTGTGTGGATGTGTTACCTGGTGAAAGATTTTTTGATCTCGAGTATGCGGATGATATTGTATTACTGCCCAGTAAAACCCCGGGTATGTAAATCGGACTCAATCAGTTGGTAATTATTGACCGTGAATATAGCACGTACTTTTCACCCTCTTAATGCTGAGTACTTTTATAAGACGGACAGGACCCTGTGAGGAATTAGAAGTAATCGAAAAGCCTTTCCATCTGGTTAGTCTTATGAGTACTGGTGGTAGCCCGAGTGGAAGCTTATATCAGTCTGGGGCATATCTGGTACCTACGGGATCTGAATCTCACTGCCCGGATTACAATGTGTCGGTGAGACGAATATTTCCCTATGTCTGTGAAACCTAGCCTCTCCGAGTTGTTCATGTTAGGCGACTCTCTGTGCTCGATCATCACTGTGTCCTAAGGGTTTCTAAGGTTCAGGAGCAACACCATGTTAATAATGCTGAGGTTCTGCAGTAGGTTTGAGTGCTGTGACAATAACTCATTTGATGTCACTATCTTGAAATACCTTTTCAGGTGGTTTATGCATATATTAAAAATGTCATCTTAGTGTCGTGCTTTATTCGCCGACATTGGAACTGAATGGCGAAAGAAAAGGGTTGGTGAGTTTACGACATGTCACTGGGGTATGGAGGAAAGGTGTATACAGCTGACATCTGTTGGTCCATCAAGATTCCCTGATTGTTATCCTAGAGAAATTGCGACTCAATGGTTTGAAATGTCACTGAACATGGCTCAGAAGGGTCCCATAATGCCCTAGTACGGCCGAGGATGGGAAGAGTCATCTCTCCCTCTCGCAATGTTCTCACATGGCCACGTGCATGCAACCACTACCAGGGAAGTCCTACTCACTGCCTTTCGCGGCGGGGGTGTTGTTTACGAAATTGAGAGGACGAAAAGCGAATGTCCGGCGCTTTAACCGGATTCCAAACCAATGGTGCACAAAGGTTTCAGTATATTGAGATAACAAATGGCATCTGAACCAGTTGTTGGTCACCGGCTACCATGGGACTGCATCTTCTGACGTTGCTCCACTACCTTGTGGATCAGACCTTCAGTTCAAAGGTTCAGGGTGTGGCCTTCTAAGAACACCATCTGCTTCGGTCTGGGCACCTGTGCAATATCCCAGCCTTCACACAAATCGAATGATTTATGTGGCGCATATCTATTTGGTGCCTCTTTGTACTTATGTTTATGTGTTTAAATAAATAAAAAAATAAAAAAGGCTCAGAATAGAAGCCAGTGAGGATCCTATTGTAGTTTTCTTCTGCATTCCAAAAGTGAAAGGGGTTCCTTTAACTGAGAAAAATTATTCTGGTTGCATGTTTTTAACAGGACTGTTTCTTTCCACTACGTATTGCTCTCGTTCACTTACTTTTATTCATTTGTTGTTTTTGATTATGTTCACCTTCCTTCTTCTATCTTTTCATGAACTCATTTCCTTATTCGTGCGGCGCATATTTATTTTCGTTCTCATTTGTACCAAAATCTATATGTTTTAAGTAAAAATGAATAAAATCTTTTAAAAATTCCCATGTCATATCCATAAATAATTATACATGATTTGATTTCATTTGTGCAAGTGAAATTTCTTGTTTTTGTATAAAGTAAACTTTATTTCATTTTGAATACCATAACTTTGAATGAAATCGGTAAATATGTGAGATTCTCTAATATTTTTTGATTTCCACAGGAAGAAATTGTCCAATTTTTCGCATTGCTCTGATTGGTCATATGCATCAAATCATGTTGCTAAACGTTATATTGAGAAGGTTGAAACCCATGTGTATTTTGATGATGTTCGTTTACAAATGGATGCTAAACTTTGGGGTGAAGAATATAGTCGTCAACCGTCTGCACCAAAAAAAGTAATCGTTCATTTGTTGACATCTGCAACAATTAAATCATATTTTCTAGCGTGTTTGTTTAAAGGTTGTTCACACAAGTTAAGTTGTTAGTATAGGGTTATGGAGATCGTTCAGTTTCACTAAAATCATGAAGCAATCTAAGTTAGGTAACCGTTTCGTCGTAGTATGTGACTGCTTACCAGTGTGCACTGATGACTCTGCAGCCGGGAATCAAACTCAAGATCTGGCGCGTGAACGCTTAACTTCCAGACTACTGGGTCGTGATCAAATGGTTCACAAGACCGAAGGTCCTGAGTTTGATTCTCGGTCGTGGGGTCGTCAATGAGCACTGACGAGGAGTCCCAAACTTGAACGAAACGGTCGTCCAGTGCTTCTAGGTTTTCAGTGGTTGTCTAACTTAGATCGGTCCATGATTTCAATAAATATAAGTTGCTGAGAGTAGCTATGTGACTCTTGGATTTCCTCTATTAAATTTATGTACGAAGGATGCTAGAAGTCATCGCTATTATACATGCTGTGCTGTTCATGTATGAGGATAAGCTGTGCTCAACTCAAGTGTGGAATGAGATCACGGAAAAGGTGGGTCTCTGTGACTAGTGAAAAACCTCGGGCGTCAGTCTGAGTAGTACATATCAAGACCAAACTCTCCGTGATAGTATCGAATATTCAGGTAAAAACTTCAAAGGTCAAGGCAGAACATCCTATGTGAATAGTAGTTAACTATGCGTTATGTGGATTTAATTGCTTCGTTGACCGGGACATTAATGAAGCATCTGATTACGAACTACTTCTCTATGGCAACTGCATGTAGCAAAAGATATTTTGTTTTATATTGTTGACTGTTTTTATTGAAAATGGGGAACGTTGGGTGTTCAGTCACGATCTCAAGGAGACATTGGCAGAAGATATGTGTAGAATTTCTTCCTCTTTGTTAAGTGGGTATCTATGTTCTGGTGCCAGTTTGCTCAGAGTCCGATGTCTAACCTTCGTAAAGTACTATCATTGTAGTACTCTTTAATCATCCGTATAAAGCTGACTAGGGCAATATAGTTTCTCTCCCATACTGTACCCTTGTCTGCAAGGGGTCTCCAAAATGAAGAATCCTATAGGCAGCTAAATGACGTAGCTAGAGGAATTCGGTGAATAGAATCCTTAGGCGTTGAATTATACCTTGGAGAAAATGGGTATTTGCGAAAACTTTGATGAGTATATGAGAACCGTGTAATAGGACAGTCATAAAAAACTTCTCTATTCACCCAAACTGTGAACGAGATGAATCTGCAGGAACAATTAATGGAACACTGAATACTACACTAACTAACTAAACTGGTCGTTTTTTATAGATCAATAGTCAAAGACTGACAGAAGCCCCAAAACCCAGAGTTAAAATGTATACAGATGTTCAGCATCGCAATTCCAGGCAGTTTGATTAACGTAGGGAATTACTGTGAAGTCCTTTAAGGTTATTAATAAATAACCGTGCACCAATCATCTCAAATCATCTGCTAAAGTTAAAACCTGATTTATGTTCAAAAGAAAGTAGCTGTTTGTCTTCCCTTATCTTAATTGTATAATTACAACAGAAAAAAAGAGAGTAAACCATCATGTTTTTATGCCATTCAGCTTGTTCTTTTCATAGCCGCAGATTTGCTAGACTCCGTTTATATAAAACAGGCTCGTTATCTCAAAGTTGAAAACAGGCCTTGATTGTTTTTTGTTGTTGGTATAACGCCCAAATGTTAGTGCTTTCGGCTTTCAAATAGTAAATAGGTTAAATACCTGTTCTAACCCTAGTTTGGGAAGCTGGGGTTAGTATTACTAACTTTCACATAAAAGTGTAGTTCAAAGCTGAATACAAACTTTTGTAAGTTACAGTTCTTTTTGTAAGTATCAATGCCAGGGTTGTACTTGATAGTTTCAAATAATTTGAACATTGGGTAAAAAGTTAATAATTAATATACTGTTTGTGGTATCCCAATGAGTAGAAAACTGTATTTCTGGGGTTTCGTAACCTAATGTAAGCCACTTCTTCAGCGCAAATAAATAACCGAAATAAAATTGACACAAGTTTAAATAGTACAAAGGAAACAAAGAAGAATATTTTTCGTACGATCAGAATCATAATAGGTCTGAATATGTCAATGTCAAATTATATTACAATTGCACACATTTTTTATGCCCACCTTCTGACGCACAAATTAACATAATGACAGTTCACACAAATTCACCTTGACCAAAAATAACTTGATATTGACATATTAAAACCTATTATGACTCTGACTGCACTAAAAATGTTCTTTATCGTTAATTTCATCTCGATTATTTATTAACTCGGAAGAAGTGGTTTACATTAAGTGACGAAACTTCAGAGATACAGTTTTCTACTCATTGGGATATCACAAATAGTGTATTTACTACTACATTTCGTTTGTTTGAATCTTTTTCTTTATTTTAGTGTATTTGCTTCATTACATTGATTAGGTTGATATTTCACAAATGTGTGTATTGGAGTTTATTAATCGACCAGAGAAACCTCTATATCACTTGGAACATTTTATAGAAGGAACTTATCGAAAGTATAATTCAAATTCAGGATTTGTAGATGATTTATCACGAAACACTCCTCAGGTGAATTACTCGTTCATTTTCTTGATTTTTCGATTGTTTTTTTTAATTGAAAGACTGAACATTTCAATACTGTCTCCGGTGTGTGTGCATCTATGTGTGTTGACTTCTTTACAAGAGAAAAGGGAAAAGATTAATACAGTTAAAACTGTTGTAGTTAAATTCACTTGGTATTGCTTGCTTGAATCTTCTCATTGATGTTTAGGACTGCAATTGATCAATCTCTTGTTGGCATATGTACACCCCGTGCGGATTACCTCGATATTACCTTAAGTCACAAGCATTATAATTAGTGTACAATCTCAATTCCAACATCAAAATATACTTTATACTGTATTACTCTTTAAGGAAGTTTCATAACATCAATTTAAACAAAATAAGCACTTCTTTTCGGAGAATAACTCTAGAGAAAAGCAAATATTTTTTTCATAGGATTCGAAGTATGCTTTAAGTGTGTTGTCCCACAGAATGGTTTCAAAAGAACGTTAATTGTTTTTAATCACGGCCATGTCGGAAGTTGATACTTTTCACTGATAGTAATTTATGATCTCAACAATGCTGCAGAGTGCAAGTTCCGTTATTTAGTCTCCGATCACCAAAAACACTATCTTCTGTGCTTAGACATTCAACTCACACATCTAAGTTGCCAGCAAGTACCGTAACACCTGTTGAGCACACTTTGTTGGAAATCAGTTGGTAACAATTTTATCTGCGCTCTAATCTGATGAAGGGAAAGCGAAGATAACACAAACACGTTACATGCCAAACATTTATCTCTTACTCTGATTGAATATTACATACAACGTGGTTTCCGAACCAACTGATGGGAAACTAGTTAACAGTACTTTACTTGAATGCTCAATACAGATCTCTGAGATATAACAGTTATTGAGGGATGTAATCTCTAGATGATGCATGTGGTTCTCAAAACAGCTGTGAAAGTTGTTCAGATGGACCATAAATTTCGATGAAGATCTATTAGATCACTAGAAGAATATGGATAAACTGCATGAAACTAAAACGACATTAAGATCTTATTTTATGACGTTTTTCATTGGAGTTGTAGATTGATAATTTAGGTACTAGAGGTAATCAATTATTAAGTGGAAATTCTGAACTCGTATAAGTGACTGGAATGAATAAATCTACTGTTTAGTATCATGTTAAAATTTAACCAATTAATCTAATAATCATTTCTGTACACAATTCTGTATATGATCACCAGATTGTATTTTAATAATCATAAAATGTTTGTGCAAATAAATTTTTTCCTTCCATGTCCACATATTTTGCATGTATTCTTTAGGCTTTTAGTCACTTCACCTTTGAACGAAGTGGTCATCGTTTAATTGTAGTTGATATACAAGGTGTTGGTAATCTATGGACAGACCCTCAAATTCATACATTCGATGGTAAATCTTATGGAGATGGAAATCTGGGGATTCGTGGAATGGCTTTATTTTTTTATACACATCGATGCAATCCATTATGTTTAGCTCTATCATTAAGCGCTTTTGATTTACCAATAAATGAAAAACTATCTACACCATTTAGTCAATTATCTATGGAAGCAGCGGATAATCAGACTGAAAATACAAATGGGATCAGTGATAATAATAATGTAAGTTGAAGAATAACTCACTAATTCTCATTCCAAATGGATATCTTGCTGTAGATATTGAGTTCTAGTTGTTTCTTCATAGATATCCTTTCGTTCCATGTTTTCGAATAATCTTCTTTAATGTTTAATACTTCTTATCATTGCTACCAAAATCATTTCCATTGCTTCAACATTCATTATACTAATTTTATCTCATGCCGATTTGATATAGCAACTTGGGCTAATTCACATATGTCCCAGACTCTATGTTGATTTTGAATGACTGATTGAATGGATGTATCAATTGAAGAACTATTGGTTTGGTAATCAGAAAACACTGAACAGTTGTTTTATCTGTTTCAGGATCTCTCAGTAGTACGTACCATTTATGGAATTGGACAATGGTACTAAAATTCTCATGGTGAATCATCATTTTCTTCATGATTACTGTTGTGAATATGCGAATACTAGAATTGTTTGGACTTTCGAAACTACCTCACGGACTATTATTGCTTATATTTTTTATCAAGTAATTATTAGATAATCGGACTATTGTATTTTTGTCCTTGGTATAGTGAGCTTCCGTTAAACCTATCGACTACTGTTATACTTATTATCTTTTAATTATCATTAATTAACTATGAATCTTTTGCTTCGTTCCCTACCATCTATTGTGTTATTATGTAGAGGGTTTTATTTTTTATTTGGAGTGCATTGCAGTGTGATAATTCATGTGCATAAACCAACAAGTATCTGAAATAAAAATACTAGGTGCTTGAAATATGGATAATAGAAACTCCTTTGGCATGTTCTGTTACTCAGGACTACAGGAAGAAAGTGTTATGATGGGCGCTGTCTGAAATCTAATGCTGATACACGACGTGTTATACGCTAGCCTCCCACCAACTAACTACTTGAACAAAAACACAAGAGTGGATGCTAGAGTATATTGGGCTACCGAATAATATGCACTGACTGAGATATATATTTATTTATCTCTACCCCTTAACAGTCCATATGCACTTGCCCGTGAGGTCGTTTCAGATTGTCAGCGTCGGTGAGAGCACTTCTGCTCTATGCTTGTGAAACCTGGCCTCTCCGAGTTGAGGATGTTAGACGGCTCTCTGTGTTTGATCGTCGTTGTCTCCGAAGGATTGCTGACATCCAGTGGCAACACCATGTCAGTAATGCAGGGGTTCGGCATCGTGTGTTCGGGCACAGGGACGACAATCCGATTGGTGTCAACATCTTGAAACATCGACTTCGGTGGCTTGGACATGTTCTACGAATATCGTCCCAGAGAATTCCACGTATGCATTATTTCCCGACCCTGAGACTGGTTGGAAGAAGCGGAGAGGTGGTCAGTGTATGACATGGTGTCGGGGTATGAAAGAAAGCTGCAAAGGACTGGCTTGTGTTGGTCCTTCACGACTCCCTGGCTGGGGTCCGAGAGATGGTGCTACACAGTGGCTAGAGACGTTATCAGATATGGCTCAGAATAGAAGCCAGTGGCGATCCTTCTGTAACCTTCTTTTACCTTCTTCATAAAAAGTGGTTGTATCTTCCTTAACTTAAAGATTTCTTCTGGCTGTACCTTTCCGTTTCCCCCATTATTATTATTATTATTATTATTATTATTATTATTATTATTATTATTATTATTATTATCACACCACCTTACACTAATCTCTGGTCGTTATTGTTCCTCTTCTTTTTTTTTCTTTTACGCTCCTTACCTTTCTTCTCTCCCCATTCTCATTGTTTTGTGTGGCGCATATATATTTGGTGCCCCCTTGTACCAGTATTTATGTGTTCAAATAAATAAATAATAAATAGATGTATTCACTCTTCATCTTTCGATCTTAAATTCCGCTATCTGTTCATGCATATCTTTCCACTCTTTCTTTTCAAACAATCTTTACAGTTCTTAGTCTTTCTTTTTATCACCACCACTTTATTTCGATCTCTTTTATTATTTTCATTTAGTCGTGCTAATATAGTTTGACTTGGACCAAATCATTTATGCTAGATTAGGGATCGAAGATACGACTCGAGAAGGAAATATAAATTGATGAAATAAACAGATTATGAAGAATTTAGAAGATCGAGATTTAAGGAAAGACGAAAAGTAAATGCAACTGAGCCATTGCGAACGATTTTGAGCCATGTCACCCAACTTCTAACAATTAGTTACATCAACCAGTTGGTCTTTCCCTACCTACATGACTCACTCTATTAGTCTGTCTTCATGAACTGATACTATATCTTGGTTTAGTCCGTTGTACCTTTCTTCCAACTTACTCCTATACCAATCATCATCGTGTGTGCGAGGTAATCTGTGGATAGACATGCGTAATACATATCCTCACAGTCTTAATCGTTAAATATTGACTAACTCATCAATTTATTGGCCACGCTTACCTAGTACACCGCATCACACGACAAAGATGACGCGAATTCAGGTATATGGTTTTGTACTTAATAATTAATCAGTTGTATCAGATTTTAACTTCTATCAATAAAATCTCTAAATCGGCTGTTCAATATAGTCTTGAATGTATTCAATTCTAATTTTTCTAACTATATGTGTTTTATCATTCTTGGTATTTCATTCTTTTGTAATCTCTTTTTCTTTACTTTTCTTGTACTTTCATTTGTGTTTTTACCATCTATCTGCTGTAACATCATTTCTTACCCTTTTTAGATTTCCCATCTGTTGAGCTTTTACTTATTTTACTAACATAAAACGTGATAATTTTCGCTTATTTTCTATGCCTTGAGTTAATTCTACTTGTGTTTTCTAACAAAAATTTTAATGCTGACATATTCGATATTTTAAATAGTACAGTTCAATGTGTGTTGAGGTTAAAAGTCTCAAACAATTCTACCGAAATTGTAATACTAAAATTGATCAGTTCACATGATATTCAGATTGTATGTAACTTTCAGGATTTGGTAGGTTTACTCTCTCCTGAAGGTAACTTGTGTGCTAAAGCAGTGTGAGGAAGCAGTATGTGAAAAAATACAAGATGAAAAGTGGACCGTTGACTCAGTAAGCACATAAGATGCAATTGCATCTAATAATGAAAGTAATTGACAACAGTTGAAAATAGTACAAGTGTGAGATTAAGACAATTTGACAATTGAAACAAGAAGTTGATAGCGTATGGTTTCGAACGCGTTAAAGTATAATATCTCAAAAATAGTTTACTGTATATTACGTAATCTTTTGAATGTCCATATCAATTTCTTTTTTTAAATATTATTGAACTTATGAAGATGTGTGATAAATTAAACGAGACTAAACTGTAGTAATGAAGGAAAATAGTATAGGTTTTTTGGATAACGTACACTGACCTAGATCGTCTCAAATTTCTATAATTTTTTGCTTTTGAAATTATATCTACATTTTATTATCTCATTTTATGGTTACTTGTCTGTCAGATTTTATCTTATTAATTAACTCAGTTTAAAGAGGAAACGCAAAGGGGTTGTTGCTTTTCGTGATAATATAGATGAATGAGATTCATAACAAAGATTTTATTATTATTGTTATTATTTTAAATACATCAACTTAATTATATATTAACTATTTGCCTAACTATCTACAATCAGGTAGAACTCAGCGGAACAGTAGCTATTCCAGCTTCTCGTCGTGATCGATATGGTATTCGTCGTTTGGTTTCAGAAAATATTGATTCATCTTATGATTTACAAAACAATGCCAATAATCACAACAATGGCACTAGTAGTGATTTTGTAAATCCAATCGACTTTGTAGAGTCTCATAGTGTACCTTCGCCTAAATTACCATTTCTACCTTCGAGATCTCCTGTTTTATGTAGAAATGATATATTACAAAAGACTGATCAAATCAATCATAATTCAAATGTCGTTGCTAATAATGGAAAACACAATACAAAGTATAGTAATAATACTACTACTACTGATAGTAATAATAATAATAATAATAATAATGGTAATAATGATGATGCACGTACTGATGATTATATATTTGGTCCAATTTCACTTCATAATAATTCGTATGATTCTGGTATAAGTTTTGATGGCCCATCGTTTGGTAATGTGTTCAAAGCACAACAAAGTATTATTAGTGATCCTGGTTGTGATCCAGTATGTTCAGATTTGGATCAGTCAAATTCTCATTTGAATTCCAGCGAAAGTTCACAACAGCTCAGTAAAGTAAGTTTTTGAAAACTTTTTATTCCAGGAAAAATTATTTCTAAATGCACTCATTAGTAATAATAATAATCGCAATATTATTTTTATTATTCGTTTACATCTTATTCTCAGATATTAGTGTCGTAAAAAATTTTAAATTTTCGTCGACATTTCGTTTTCAGCTGTTATCTTAGTACATACTTACAGTTAAAGCTGCGCGTTATGATAGCTCAGTTGATCGGTAAGATGCCGTATAACTTGCTCCCCATGTTCCAACTGAATAGTTATTAGAAGACAAAACTGTTAACCATGTCTGGCCAATCAAATGTAACTCTGACGTAAGGAAACACTGTCTATTAGTTGCGACTAAATTATTCTAGACATCATATGTAGTTATTATTCTGTTTTATTTTTACAAACACTTCTCGGACCATTCTGTTTATGTTTGAAAACAGCTACTATTTCAGAGCGATCAAACATTCAGTTTCAGCCAGATTACTGCCTATAATATTTGTCTTTGGGGGAGGGGGTTGGAGTTTTGTCACGGGTTCAGAAAGCTCAGTTGGCTTTTTCATCTTGGGTCGCTTATGGTGTAACGCGGCATATCTTTGGCAGTGTTAGGTATGCAGAGGAATGTACCAATAATTATCGTGTTAAGTCGAATGGTGTCCTTGGACGTTGAATGGACATTTCCCATTGGTCGATGTTTGTTTCACTTGTTAAATATTGTGTAAATGTTGTTTTCTATTTTTATGGTACGATGTTGTTTGTTTGTTTGGTATATAAATAGAGTATGTCTGAAATATAATGATTCATAACTCAGAGGCTGTGACTTGCGTTCTAGACTCAACTGGCTGGGCTAGACAGGGAAGCGGGACCAATCGGGACTCTAGGTCGTCCTTGCGTGTTTACGTGTCCACTGTACCGCTGCTTATCATAACATGCAGTCACACACGTTACAACAGGCAGACAAAAGACTGTGTATACTGCGATGCAGCTTTATTCTTTCCACTTTATGGCTGTGTAACATGACCTTTAAAATTAAGTTATTCGTAGATTACTATTATATGATCATACATTCCTACAAGAAATTTCTGGTGTATACTGAGAACACTGTGTCATCAGTACTGAGATTAGATACAGGACATTACGTAAAGATGTCAAATCGATTGATGAGGCAATAAATATTCAACAGCTGAGATGTACACTCAACCACTTTCTACATATATGTGATATGTTTACTAGTACAGGAGTCGTTTGGAAGAAAGCTAATGGAAACACAACTAAGACGTGACATCAGTCAATGAAATAATTGCCTCAGTTGTTGTTTTGGCCTTGTTTATAGTAATTAACTGTTGGATTTGAGTCGTACATGCTGACACAGACTACCAGGTTGAGGTCCTCGAGATTATCGTAGCCAATCATCGGAGACGTTAGATGTCACGGCTCAAAATCGTTCGCAATGGCCTAGGTACATCCATTGTTCCTTGTCTCGTGATCTTCCCTACAAATTCATATTTCCTCGAATCCTATTGTCTGTGCCTGATCTTTACTACTATTCTAGATACTGTTTCTACTACTCTAGTATCTCTCTGAGCTGATGGTATGTCAACCTGAACCGATCCACACGTATCAGGTTCTAAATTAAGCATGGCTGATTGAAGAAAGGGCTGGCACAATGTTTGGTTGGTCAAAGTTTCTGTTAAAACTACCGTTAAAATTACTATTTTAAACAATTTATATAAGTGTATTTTCCAAATGTATAGTTATCTAAATAACACCAAAAACTCCAAATCTCTGAGTCAGTCAGTCAGCTACAACGTAAAACCAGACACATATATGCATCGGTCCAAGTTGCCATACCTCATTAACACAAGATGGACACCGGATTCATAAAAGTAGTTAATTCAGAGGTGGTAATATATAAAAGAAAGACTGCAATAAGGATATAGTACAGGAAGAAAGAATTAGTTCGTAGAAAGAAAGATATGAAGCGAGTGTATACACCGACGCCATTGTGATCGATTCTGAGCCATGTCACCAAGAGTCTCCAACCGTTAGTTAAGATAGTCACGCGGACCCCAATCAAGTAGTCTGCAATTTAGAAGAACTAAAAATAATTAAGGTCAATTTATTGCATGTATTTTCTTCTCTCCTTATAGTAGTATATCTTCCCCACAAGATTTGGCCAGTTGTTTTCTATTTTAAATATGTTTTTTTTATATATATAGTTCGCCTTTAAATTATCTGACAATGAACAGTGAATAACCATAGTGACCATGCATATTTATCGTAAACGTTTAACTGAAATATTTTTAAAATTGTTATTGTTCTCGTTATTTCTTAAATTTGTCATACATATTGATTATTCGTAAATTTACGTGTATTTACATTTGAACATTATCCACATACATAATACACAGAGTACATAGAATACTATCAGTTATCACAATGTCACTTTAAATTCGGTGCATTATTGTTTTTTTGTCTTACATCATGTTTACATCTCGTGTATATTCTGCTAGAATAATTTATTCATACTGACTTATGTGATATAGAATCTGATATGTAATGAGATAATCTACATTAACAGAAAATTATTAAACAGATTTCTTGATTGTGATATAATAGTCAACCCCACCTATCCTCTAGAATCTTACAATTATCAATAGTCCATAACCTTCTCAAATTGGTATTCTCTGTTAATTTGACTGTTTCACATTCAGTCGTACAGTATGTTTGATATATTGAGATAACTGAAAAATCCTTAACTATCCCATTAGATCATATCATACAAGTTCAAAGTAATGTAACCAGACGGCTGAATTAAGCAAGCGATTTTCATTTTTAGAAAATCCTAGTGCTACAAACCTTTTTAAAAGACAGTTGATTTCAGAGACCCGACTTTAGTTTGGAAATATTTGCTTAATTGGTTTTCTGAAAATATTTTAGAATTTGAAAACAACAGGCTATAAAAATTGTTATGTCAGGGTAGGTAGCAGTTTAAGACCTCTCAACGGCATGAGCCTCTTAATTCCATGTCGAATCGATCATAGGGGCTTCCCTGTTAGCTAGTCATAATAGACGTAGAGCCTGGGATAAATTTATATCAATTCATTACACCAACCTTATCAGCTCGAGATAAAATTAAGTTGAATAGTAATATTCGTAGTAGCGGTGATAGTGAGAAAGACTGAACTTTAAGATCAGGGGTACTGAGAGTCTCTTTCTGGTAAGTGGGAACCGATGACCTATAAACCTATTCTTGGTCACCAGTTGTCATGAAACCACATCCCCTCACATTGTTTCACTGTCTCGTGTACTAGGCCTCTAGATCAAGGTCTCGGAGGATGACCCACTTTTTGAGAAACCACTTGCTTCAGTTTGGGGACCTGGACGGTATCCCAGCCTGCACATAAATCTGATGATAACTACTTGTGTGACGCATGTATATTTCAGTGCCCCTTTGTACCAATGTTTATGTGTTTTAATGTAAGTGCTATGTGGTTGAGTCATTAAATCGAAATCTAACAGTTCACATTACCAACATTCAATTTGTTTTATTACGATCTTCATTCTCTGCTTGGGTGACTGCACCGATCATGGCTTCCCACTAAATATTCAGTAAAGTTATCTCGAATTTAGTTATTAGTGTGGATATCCAAGTGGTTTTGTTGAGTGTTAAGTTGATTGAAAATATTCAAGCAATTTGTAATTCGGTCAATCTTTGTGTTCTTAAAGTAAATTAATTATATACGCATGTAACGTTCGCTAATTCCAGTGTTTGGACTAAGGCACCTAACAACAAGTTTGCCTACTGTTTATAATTTTATGCTCTGAAATTTGTCCATAAATGAACATTCTATTTCGTGTTAATTTTGATTGTAGTACGTACTGGTCTCGTATTGCCTCTAGAACTTGTATTCCTAAACGGGAAGTCATGTGACTTTTTCTGCCAATAAATATCATGATGTGTTTGTCACACTATAATGATCAATATGACATTTAATTTTGTGATTGGTTCACCTACTTATAGATTAGCCTGGATACCATAGAAAAAACTGCAATTTTTTTTAGGTATGACACTTAGTGTTAATATGTCAGTTCCCTCTACTGGATGGTATTTTGACTGACTTAAAATGTGTGTATCGTTATTGTATCACAGGTCTCCACAAAACAAATGTTTTGCTCATAACCGACTACATAATTAATGGGTATATATTACTTGTTGTCTATGTGTTCAAATTATATTACGAACTGGCTGATGTTGAAAGTATGCACCAGTGGATTTTCACTCGGTGATTTAAAGGATATCGTATTCATTACGAGGCCTAAAGTTTGTGGTTCACTGCCGTAAAAATCCCTAAACTAGAAAGAAATAATTGTTATATTCCCTTTTGGTTTTTATTCGATATTTTGTGATGTAACATATCAAGTGTGTAACTGAGTTAATAACAAAGCATAGTTGTTTATTAAGCCTAGCGGACGTATGAGTTTTTGAACTTTCGCCGATCTTGGGAAAACGGAGTGATATTCACCATTTTATCAATAAAATAACAAAGTGTTTTTTCCACAATTGATTGGCCACTGAATAATGTCCATTTTCATATTTGAATAAAGCGAAAAAGACATAATTCACAGAATAAAGCATAGTGTTTTCAGTTTATATAGTAAATCTTGTCGTTCTCTCTTTCTTTAAATTTACCAGTGGATCTGGAAGTATGAATTGTCGCGTTTTCCTAGTCCTTAATTCTGATTGAATCCCATCGACTAAGTCGCAATTTGATCACTAATCTGAGCGACTCGACTTTGTGTGCTGTGAGTTGAGTTGTTAAATGGTTGGAGGCAGTCATCAGGGAACTCTGAACCTAGTTTTTGCCCTAGTTGACATTCGCCAGAAAGGCGTGCCTGTAATCTTGAAAGAGACGGTGCTCCCAGTGGGATTCCAACTCACATTATTCAGCTTCGCAATCTGAGATGTTATCGCTAAGTTCTTCGGATCACTACCAACTACCTGCAATCACCTAACAATAACGTTTTGTGTACCATAATAGTTCTAAGTTAATTATTATGGATATTTTCATCCAAAGTCCAAGTTTACATATCGTTTACCAATCGTTGATCGCCGGCTACCATGGGAATGCATCTACTGACGTTGCTCAACTGCCTTGTGGACCAGACCTCTAGGTCAAAGTCTCCGGGTGTGGCCCCCTAAGAAAACTACCTGTTTCGGTCTTGTCACTCGGGCAGTATCACAGCCCTCACACAAACCGATTGATTTATGTTGTGCATTTCTGTTTGATGCCTCCATGTACCCATGTCCATGTGTTTAAATAAATAAGTAAAATGTTTTCTCGAATTTCCATGGTATCTTTATTGAAAATTTAACTACACAAACACAAAAAATATATTTATTACTAACTATACATGTTTATGTTATATGTTCAATAATTCATAGGTAAATGAGATGAGTTCACCTTATTTTCGCTAATTTCATTCCTTTTAGTGAGTATTTTAATAGAACATTGCTCTGTGCTTGTGTGTTATGATTTTTGCCCTGTTTCTTATCACGTGACTAAACCGCCAATTAGAACACAACTTATATGACCTTGACGCTATGCCAAACCAATGACGCGTTAATCAACTCTGAGTCTGTTATAACTTGCGGCCTGAGTGCCTTGCTAATGTATACGTAATGATACCACCAAATAGGGAGCAGTGAGTTATCGATCGGACCAAGGACGCGTAAAACCCGTACAAGCAGTCTAGAGTCCTGATTGGTCCTGCTTTCCGCCTAGCCCATCCAGTTAAGTCCAAAACACCAATCTCAGCCTCTTCAATATGAATCATTTATTCCTAGCATACTGGGTTTATATACCAACCAGACAGACCACATCGTACCATAAAATATGAAACAACATTTGTACAAGAATTAGCCCAAAGTGGCTGTGAATGAGGGAGGTAGTAATTAATAGACAGTGCATGATTCAAGAATGGTAGATCGTATAATAATAGTTCATAGGTCAATGTAAAGCTCATAATAAGGGGGACATGAATATGAACAGTTTAGTTATTCAACAATTATACGATAAAATATACGCATAGTATTGGTCCTTAAATGGATCACAAAAGTTACTATTCATTATGCTTATCGGGACATAACAGAGTCTTTATTGCCTTGTTTTGTCCGTTGAGTCCAAAACACAATTTCAGCTTACACTGCATGAATCATGTATTTCAGATATACTCAGTTTATATACAAATAAATGAGACCGCATGGTACCATAAAATAGAAAATAACAAGAATACAAGATTAAGCCAAAAGTGTCTGAGTATAACAGACTAACTAATAAATCGGGAATAAGTTAAGAATAGTAAATCCTATAGTAGTAGCCAATATGTCAAATGAAAGCTTATATTAAGAGAAGTATAAATATGTATTACCTAGTTATTTAATATGCGCATAACAACAGTCCATAAATAATTCCCAACAGTTACTGTTCATTTATTCTTCGTTAGGATTGAAAATTGTGTTTAAATAGTGATCTGTAAGTTATAGTGCGTGTCCAATGTCTGATAATAGGAACTCTGTTTGACCTGAAATTTTGATTATTAAACCGAATTTTCATAGTATCAATTATTCCGATTTCTTATTACTTAAACTCATTTCAAAATAAACGAACCAATATCATTTCCGAATGTGAGTTGTTTAGAAGTTGTCAAATGAGATCCCATACACTCTTGTTGATACAACTGTATGCTATTTCTTTTTACCATAAGTTGTTCAATTCATATTACAGTATTGTGTGAATCTCATTATATGATTCACCAGGGATTTGAAAGCATCGGGTGGTAATCGAGAGATATCGTGAACCGGCCATTTGATTTCTACGCAATGGTCTAAGGCTGCTGTGCTAAGTACACAGGTTGAAGCTGATGAGTTCGTCCCCTTATGAGGTTATAAGTGAACATCAATGAGAAGTGCTATACTATGGTGAAATAGTTCTCAATTTAATATTATTTTATAATAGAAAGAACTAAATTTGGATTGAACACTTCACAAACTGCCTATCTTTGGGATAGTTTTTTTCAACAGCCCGGAATTATGGTGATTATAGTATTCTCAACATAAATACATGACTAATAATCACGTTAATGTGTGATGGGAATGCACAAACAATTTAGTGGTAGAGGTAGAAAATACTTTTTAAATAACGGTGAGAACTGGTAAACCGTTTACATCAATAATAACCGACATCGAGATAAGGCTTTTATGTATTTTATCAGCCTTTTTATATTGCTTGTAATGTAAACGCATGTGACTTGTGGAAGTTGGAAACATATTGAACCACTTAAAAGTTTGTTTTTAAACATATACATTGAAGTTTTTTTTCTTTACTTTGTATACCTGAAATATAGAACAATGATTCCATAGTTCAACGACTTACTTTTGGAATATTACCTTCCAAGCTTTATTTGAAGAATCTAGTTTATGTATACTCATTCATAGTTGACATCACAAACCTTGAATCTGTTACATTCTGAATCAATAGCAAATTTCATTTATGACATCTATTTGCATTTCTAATAGGCAATAAATAACATATTCTTTTTAGAATATTAAATAGTGTCCATCTTATTAATTTATCATGGGTATTTGTTCAATATAATCATAATTTTATAAAAGATTATTGTATGTAGTGTTACATTTGTTTTTGTTTAATTATTTTTTTTTATTAGGAAGCTGAACTCATTGAATTTTTTCGTTTACATCAAGCTGGTCATCGAAGCAGTTCCATTGCAGCTTTACATGGTGCTGATACTGTAATTTTAGGTTTAGTAAGTATATGACCATTTTATTACCATTGATAATTTATCAATATCTTATTATGCTGATGAAATTAATTTTACTTGTATGATAATCATTTTCATGTATTAATTATAATGAATACAATAGGATTGTCATCAAAATAATTATGGGGATATATTAATTAAATATATTGATTATTGAATTTCCCTCTCATTAGATATAAAAGATTATTTCGAAATTTATGAATATCTGACCGCATTAAAGAGTAGTTCTCTCCAGAAAAATAATATCCAGCCCCCAAACTCTGGGTAGTAAGAATCTCAGAAAATGAAATGATTTTCAAAAAGAATGATAATTGGTCGGGAGAGTCTTTACTTTCACTGAATTGCGAAAATATCTGCTTTTTGTGTATTGGAGTTGTATTCTGGTCTGTTTATAGTAATATGATGATATACATAGGCTACTTAAATTGTTTGAGTAATTTCACTAGAAAACTTTATGATAGAATATGTTGAAATACAAAGAAGCATCTCACTTCGTCTTTCTATACGGATACATTTTTTACTCAATCCATAGCGACCTTGAAGTATGCTTTGTTCGATAGTAAACAGGTTAGGTGATTAAAACTTATTTCTAATTGATTGATTACCGGGTGGTGACCAAAGGCATACATATCAGATTCTTTTTTTGGTTCTCACAGAATCCTATCGATCAAGTTTTAATGTGTTCACTAGTCTGGTTGACTCGAATTTGCGCGTTATATGTGATAGACAAGGTGGTGGTTGTAGGCAGTCAACAAGAAACCCCGTTTGAAACTTGTCGACAAGGTGTACCTGTACTCTTGGGAGGACTGATTCCAGGAAGCATCAGTTATAGGTACACTTTGCTGATGAATGTCAGATACCGCGAAACCTAGGTTAAGCAAGGTTTCCTGTCAATTACCTCTGCTAAAGTGATCACAAGAAAAGTCGAATTTTATTAGAAAAGCTAAGATCTCAGAAAAAATAAAAGCTCGCACAATTTGTGCCAATTCGATTTCCTGCATGACCTTTGCCCTCGGATTGATCGTCATCGTTTTTTTATTTCTCTAAATTGCTGTATGCTCAAAGTTCATACTCTGCTACTATAGTAACAACTTTTGTACCAATTCCGATTGTGTTGCTTGTCCCTATCTCAATATCAAGTTACCTACAATTCCGTCTTCTTTCTGTATTAGCTGTCGAGGTTTGATGTATTCTGTGTAAATGACTGTTTCCAATTCCGAAGGGAACCGACCATATTAGAGTTGCTCAATCGTGTTTGTTGCTAGATTCGTGACATAGTAGGCCATATTGAACTCCAATAACAAGTCACAACAACCTCCAATCATCTTAGATTGCGATTTATATAACAAATAAACAGTTAGTAAAGGCTTTTCTCGTTTTTATGAGTTGTTAGATGAGGTATGACCTTTTTCAGTTGAGTTTTTACAGAAAAGGAGACTGACGCTAGAAAATGTCATAAGATCTCTTGAAATCAATTTCAGTTTATTGAAAGCTTATTATTCTTTTTCTGAATGTGTCGAAATTAACCGTCGTATAATTATATTCGGTAGTTAATGTCCCCAAGACTAATTTGTTTCACCATGTTAGATGTATGATAAATCGTCTATGCATCATTGTGCCCGTTTCTTTGCTTTTAAACAATATTTGTTTGATGATGCTAATGTGTGTATGTATACTGTTTAAATCAGTTACATTTGGATTACTTAGCGACATGTTTGATAATCGAAAGCCATCAATATAAAACACCTAGTTTGTATTTTCTATCAAATTTCACTCTACCTATGTGTGCATTTTGGAATGTATAGAGGTTAATTCCTCTATTTTGATAACTTTTTAACTGTGTATTTTCTAGTTGACTAACTCTCTTAGTATCTCGAGGAATCCACTTGAGAGTATTCAAAAGCCAAGATATATCAGTCGTGTTGTTCAATCAAGTTTCTAATGTCACTCCTCGTAGAGCAAAGGTGGCCAACCAAAATCCTTAACCAACTCTGTTCTGGGTTCTCCTCTCAGGTTGTTGTCTACCGGGAGGTTTAATGGGTTTACTTGAAAATAATGATTCATGGTCTTGTGGTCAAATGGAAATCTATCTGTCAACAAATTAAGCTGTGATCTGAACTCTTTGAAGTATCCAAAAATGTCGTGAAATTTTATTCTTAATAGCTGAAATCTAGCAAATGTATTCTTGTAAAAAATCCATTGAGATTGTTTACTATCTTAATATTGGGAAATGAAGTTAGTTTTGTTCCTCGATTCATGTAGACGGCAGATCGAGTTAGATTTCAAACATTTTTTGAATACTTTAACAGAAAGTGTGATGTTTCTTTAAAATAATTATAAATTATCTTTCTTCTGACCTCTCTGTTTATTACGGATTTCTAAATCAACTTTTTGGCCTTAGTTTACCTATTTCTATTGTAGTGAATGGAAATACAGTCATGAAAATTATCCCAAATAAAACAAAATGTATATCTATATCCCAGTTACCGGCTTCCAATAATAATTTTTAGAATGTAGCCGAAGGCGATATATAGCAGATGTGTATAAGAAACAGAAATATCTAAGTCCGGTGCAGAATTTCAAGTTAAATCTTCAGTATGAGGGTTGTGGAGGCTGTTGAATTTCATTGAAAGAATCAACTTATCTGAATCAGACCACCATTGGAAACGTAAGAGTACTGGATACCCATTTCGTTCTAGTATGGAACTCCTCACCAGTACATATCCCGCGCGCACACTGATGAGCAGTCCCATACTAGGACGAAACGCCCATCCATTACTTCCAGGTTTTCCATGGAATTCAAGTCGAATTTTCACCAGTTCCTTCTGTCCATAGTCTGCTACTTCTACACTTTATAGTTGCGCTGTCATCGTAAATAATCTTTACAAATAAAAAACTCATTAGTACTACTTAACTTTCACTAAAAACTACCATAAAATACTTAACACTTTATCAGGACACGTTCCGACTTGTTTTTGAAACTGCAAATTTAAACATTGTCATCAAAATACAAATGAAACAAATGGAGTTTACAACACAATTTACTAAAAACTTTCTTCATTACAAATGTTTTCCACCCAAAATAATCATGAGTCATGAGCTGTTGAGTTTATATATATTGTAATGAGAAAAACAATAGAATATTTAACTCGATTCATTTTTTCCACACGATCTACACACATTTAGAGTTAAACACCACTTCTCCGAATTACACATTTGTCGCACCCTCCATCATACACTCAAACAAGCAGTAATGTCTTATATAGAATCACCTTGACCAAACAGTTCACATGAGATTGACACAATCAGACCTATTTTTGGTTCTTTTTATTATTTATTTATTCATTTAAACAAATAAGCATTAGTACGAGGCACCAAATACATATGTACCACCCAAATTATTCGGTTTTTGTGAGAGGTAAAGCAGGTGGTTTTCTTAGGGAACCATTCCTCAAGCATTTGATCTAGAGGTCTAATCCACAAGTCAGTGGAGCAACGCTAGGAGAAACATTACCATGGTATCAGGGGACCGACAATTGTTCCCTCAGGATCCTGGAGCCCACCAACCTGGTTAAAGCTCCGGACATTAGCTTATTGTTGTAAGGCTCGGTTTTCATCGTCTTAGACGAATAACCACACTAGATACCGTCCCAGTGTCTATTCTACAGGACTTTAACACAATGTATGTCCTATCCATTTCGATCGTCTTTTCCTAACTTCCTCTTCAGCTAGAAGCTGGTTTGTTCTCCCACAATAGGCTGTTGTTGATGTTATCCGGCCAACGGACATTGAGTATCTTGCGTAGACAACTGTTTATAAATACTTGTACCATTTGGATGATTGTTGTAGTAATTCTCCAAGTTTCAGCTCCATACAATAGACCATACAATGTTACATATGAAATCCTACTGTTGTTCTATGAAAATATGTCAGGTCAGAATGGAGAACCTCATCGTCTGTATAAATATGTGTTGATAGGATTATAACTTTAGAAAAAATATGGAATAACAGTTTACTTATTTGTAATTCTCTGATTTTTATCTTTGTTCATTGTAAGATCTTCAACTTCCTTTCGAAAAGATACTTTCAATGCTCTGATAAATTAAAAAAAACTACAATTGAACATCAATCTAATATACTCTATAGTACTTTAATGAAATTCAACTTAATATGATGAAAAACACTTTCCTTTTCTTTACTAGATACATCATGAATTGGCTCGTTTACATGCTTCTGGTCGTTTAGCTTTAATGCATCAAACCGGTTATTGTCAATTAAAGTGCAATGAAATCAAAAAGCATCAACCTTCTATAGATATTGAGCAAGAATTGAATGGAAATCAATTGAATGAATTAAATCGCCCACAAAATGTTAATTGGGAATCAGTTTTATTTCATTTAGAACAATCAGCTAAACTTGGTTGTTTAGATGCTATTCAATGTTTAGCTCAATATTATTTGAATTTAATGATTGATGGTCCATTATCGGAATGTCCAATTAAAGTTAGTCTATTTACTGTTTCAGTTTTATCGTTGAAAATAAGATAATGGTTGAAGTGTTTAGATTTGTTGACTCAATTAGGGTCATCTTTGATTAACAGCTGATGATTAATGATCCTGTTTTGAACTCAACGAATTCAATTAAGTAGGGTATAATTAGTCATTAAGACTTTCGGATACAAAGAAACTAATGGATAGTTATTATTTCATAGAAATCACAAACCGATCAACGTCAGTCAGCCGTTGAAAACCTGCGAGGACTGGACGACCGTTCTGTCTTAGCATGAGACTGCTCATCGTTGCTCACTGACGACCCTACGACTGGAAATCGAACCTAGGACCTTCGGTCTCGCGCACGAACGCTTAACTTCAAGATAATTGTAGCCGGAATCCAATGATGTAAAACTCTAGCTTGGCCTCACCACTTCTATAGAATAGTCTTTCTGACTCCATAAATTATTTTATGCCTGATATACATCCCGGATTAATTTCGTACATGTACTAGGACCTGCCGCATTCCTAGAAAGCAATATCAAAAGTCGAGATACGAGATAAATATATCCCATGCATTCATTTGTGTAGGCGAACTATAGGAGGAGATAGGTGCATACAGCACGAATTCTCCACACTAACCAACGCACTAAGTGTTTCTGTCTCAGTTTATGTTTCAAATAAACAGTGGATACGATAAGTAAGTACAGACAGACATACAAACAAATTACATATAAAAACGTGCAGTATGGTTAATAGAATTAACGAGGATGGATACAAAAAGTATACTTATATGGAACAATTGCTTGTGGAAAGTATACGATTATAAGGGGATAAAAATGAATCATTAGTCTTATTCTGTTTGAATTATTATTACCCATTTAAATAATAATTAATTGTCTCAGATGTGTTTGTACACATGCTCCGTATTTTTAATAATCTATCTTTGAAGGATTCGTCGCGTATCCATGTATCGACTTACTGTGAAATACTGAAGTGGTAGTAGAATGATACTAGGTAAACATGGCAACACTTTCAAAGAGTTTTCCATAAAAATCATGTTAATGATAAACTTCTTGACGAATACATTTTTACATCTTTTTGAATACATATAATTTGCTTATATGGTTATTGGCAAATTTTAGATAAACATTTGCGTTCATCGGATGTTTTTCAGTTTATCGTTTAGAGTGCTTAACTATTTCCTTGGAATCCAGATTTCGGTCTGTCTAACACATCTAAGTTTTACATAAAATCATATTCGTAATTATTTGCACTAAAGGTATATTTATGCACGAACTTTGAGCAACGCTAGGGTGACCTTGAAATAACTACTTACTTACTAGAGTCAACATAGGGTTATAAATTAGTATGTTGAATTAGGGTTGAAAATTTAAAATAAGGGTTTTCCTCCGGAACTGAGATCAGTTATACTGCCCAAATACTACTTAACTTATGTATGAGTGAATTTCACGCAAAAATCCAAGAACTGTTTTCCTTAGTTTCGTTGGTTCGTCCATAAATTATAGTATCGCCCTCATATCGTTAAATTGTTTCTTGTTTTTGTTAATATTTCATTTCTTCTTCATAAGGAATTCTTGGGTCACACAGATTATGAATTTACAATTAAATTGACCACCGATTATTTATCAGTATCATGTATGTCAAATTCTTCTTAGTGCTGATCGCATCCTATTGATCAAGTTGCAATGTGGCTACTAGTCTATGTTTTGATGAAAGATGGTGGTTGGAGGTAGTTTACATAAAACCCTGCTTGACACATAGGCTTTGTGCTATTTGACACCCGTCAGCACAGTGTACCTGTGATCTTGAGGGGGCTGATGCTCGCTGGTGGATCCAATGCCATCCAGCTTCACAGTCAGCGATATTAACACTGAGTCATTTAGGCCACAACTGAATTAATGAAAGTTCTTAATAAGTTATGGGATTACTTTTGTTTACTACAATTTTCCCATCTTTCATGTGTATAACATACTTACTTGTCTTTTTTAACTTAGCCTGATCCAGTAGAATCTCGAGCACATGGTTTCGCTTTAATCAGTGCGGCTGCATCAGCGGGAGATCGTATGGCTATGCTTTATTTAGCTGAAGCTTATTATCATGGCGATTATTATTCTCCAGATACTAGTAATGATATCAATAATAATAATATTAATAATAATGGGCGGAAACAAGAACCTGACTGGTTAGCAGCTGCACATTGGTATGAAATGGCGTCTAAAGTTGTTACTTATGATGATGATGCTATAGAAGATGATGAAACAAATCAACGCAACCCATCGTTTGTAAAAAGGAGTCGTTCTGGTTTTCATTCATTATCTGAATGGCCAATCTATCGTTTACAAGGTCGATTAGGAGAAATGTATGCTAAAGGTGGTCATGGTTTAGTCAGAGATAGAATAAAAGCTTGTAAGTTATTATTTTAAATTAAATCTGGACTATACCGACGGCTTTAAGCGAATTTGAAAGTATTCTCGGGATCGATCAATCAGAAAATAGCTAATCAGAATTCAACTTTTGTAAAAGAGTCCTAACACATAACGGTGATAGTATTACAGACGATTATAATCTTTAGCACGATTAACAAATGTTAGGGTTAACTATCGATAACTTACGCTTGATATCATAGCGCCAAATTTACCCTAATATAATAGACTTTCGGTGCTATTTCAGAATCGACCACACATTCTTTAGTACACATGCATCAATTCATCATTTTCATCAGCTTTTAAGTCGTCAGTATTTAGTTAACCGTTATTTATCTTTTATTTTTAACCTGATGATCTTGTTTTGTTAGTTCTCTGTTCCGATACTATTTCCACGCATAATAGTTTGAATCTGCCCACTGTATAGTGTAAATTTTCACGTTAATAAGTCTTTTTATTTGGTTTTTTGAATCAGAAGAGTTCAATCAATTTTTCAAATATTATTATTGAAGTTATAAATTGATCCAAGTTAGACAGATATTGAAAACCTGGTGGCTTTAGAAACTCGTCAACCATGCGCATTCACAATCCTGCTATCGGAGATCGAACCCTGAATCTTCGAACGAAACAACTGTCTAGTACTTCAGGTTCTCAACTGTTACCTAACTTGGATCGGTTGGCGATCTCTCCACAGTCTCCACAGTCCCTCTACAGATAAGCTTGGTTTATTGTCTTAACAATGAGAATATGTAACTAGTTAGTTTCATACAATTAGTTCCATCTATGAATTTGAATAAAGCCAGAACGAAAGTTGACACAAAATCCTATTTAATTTTCTATTTAATAAATTATGTACATGCCTCTCAAGATTTTCAAGTAGGATGTCATATTCATGTTCTTTTGAAAGTGTTAATGTTGGTGTTTTCGCAAATTCCAAGGTTTTCGATTGAACATTGTAAATAATTAATTTGGCTTACAATATTTGAATCCGTAACAATTTTATCGAAGCTATGAGCTACAAGTAAAGTTGAATAAGACCTACCAGAGGAATCCTATTTGAGACTCTTCAGTTGGATGTGCCTACATCTTTGTTGGTGTTCACGCCAGGATTCGGACCCACTACATTTCTTTTCGAACCCCAAAGTAATATCCACTGAACTGGGAAATAAATAAATAATGCCATGAGTTTGCTTTAAGTTTAGAGCTAATTTCCTTGGTTCATTCGGTTTAGGAGTTAACGCCAATTATTATTCTAGCTTTATTCTAACTAGCTAATTGTTCACAAGTTTGTTTGTCTTTTTTTTCATAGCGAAAGTATAAATTAGTAAGATTTACAGAATGCTATCACTTCGATTTAGCCTATTAGTATTGGTTTTCCAATGAGTCAGTGATTAAAGTGAGACTCTAGATCTACATTTTATTCTGGTTATGTAATACTTATCAACAAGACAAGAAATATTCTGCTTAATTAAGAATGATACATAGAAATGCACCAAAACAATAACGAATGGCTTAATACATAGAAGTAGCTATCACAGGAGAATTAGAAATGAATTAAAAGGTCAAGTTAAGCATCTCATTTTAACATATATACCATAAGAAGGGTTAAATAGAAGCTATCAAGATAATTAAAAGGTCATTCGACAATAAATGACTCGGGAAAAAGAAAGTCTGTGAAATTGTCGGGTTCTGTTTTACAAAATGTTGCTGTAATATCACTTGAGATACATTCACATAGGGCATCATGTAAGTGTGTAAGAGCTTGGTATTGTTAATAATCAAGTTATTCAGCTAGCCAAAGTCACATTCTATTTACTTTTGTCTAGATCAGTTTAGCAACTTATATGTACATACCGGCTCAATTTAGGGTTGAAGCTTTATACGGATTCTTAGTCTTCTTACTCCTGTATATATGGGTGTGCTAAATCTTAGGAAGCGAGGAATTATGACTGAATCAGATTGACAGATCATAACGGAGCATCAACACTGGTAAGTGGATTCCGCTTGACGAGTACTAAATAGGACGAAAATCGCGGGCTAGATTCCAACCCTAATCATAATAGTTCTATTTTAAAAAAGCTTATTGCTTATTATCTTTCATGCACTACGTGTTGTTTCAATCTATATGTATATGTGTCACATGTGTGATCACGAATATGGTGTATATAATAACAGTACAACTAAATATCAATACTAAGTTAGTCAGTCGCTTGGTGCGTATGTACCTCGGTTCAGGTTCCCATACCTCATTAGAACAGAGAGCTGAAATTGTCAGACCGAATCCCAGAATAGTAGGGGTAGTGATTTTGTATATGGTAATGGAAAAGATTGAGGATCAAATATACAATTCTGGAAAATATAAATAAGTGAAATGGAAGATGCTATGAGGAATTCGGAAGCTTATAATCTATATGAAGACAAATAATGGATGCACCTGTGCCATCGCAAGTTATTTTGAACCATGGTATTCAAAGTCTCGAACCATTGATTACGGTAATCATGCGGACCCCAACCAGGTAGTATATACTTGTTAGAATGATATGGTCCAATTGTCAATGTCTTCTTCGGTTTGACCTCCTCTATCTTCCAGTTTACTTTCACACTAGACAACGTCACCAAATACTGAGTAGTTCAGAGTTTCCGAAAAGCCTTGATTTATTAGGCCTAACATGTTATTTTACTGTTTAGAGATGATAAAAAATACTAATAGTTTAAGGTGAGTATATTGGATGTGTTGTGGTCTCTAAGCTGATCACAACACTTCCAATATTTTACTGCCTTCTATTTTTCCCAATTAGCCAATCATTAACCTTTTTTGTATTACATTTGAGATTTACCAGTCATAAGATAATAAATACGTTGGATGAACTCGGTGCGACTGCTACTTGTAAACAGTCAACTATCATTTTACGTTTAATTCATGAATTCAAACCAATATTCATATGCATCCATCTTATAAGATAATACAGAATATTTGTAGCTCAAGATGAAGATTTAGGTAGATATTATACTCTGACTGGAATGATTAAATTGTATTGGCTTATTTTCTCTTTTCTTTATGTCCTATTTGCGTGCATAGTATTGATTTGGGGGGGGGGTTGTGATCTACACTTTTTGCTAGTGTCCTAGATAATCTTTTTGTAGTCTTGATGATATTCTTTATGTAATTAATAATAATAATAATAATAATAATAATAATAATAATAATAATAATAATAATAATAATAATAATAATAATAGGATGGGATCATCCGTTTACTGATTTTTACTGTCTAGATTATACATGCATTGCATAAGCTAATTATTGATGAAGATACGATTCATTTAACCTTTTTCCTGACTCGTAAAGCATAACACCTTCAACATTCACTTGATAATAAACTATATGTGATTATTGTTAGCATCTTTTCGTTTTTGTTCGAATTTTTCACAAATTGTATTGATTTAGATCTTTCAGCACTCCTTGGTATACCTTCATTTATTTATATTGTATACTGATAATTTTCTTTATGAAAAAATAAATAAAATTGTAGACGAACTCTTCGAATCAGCCGCTGAAGGTGCTAGTGAAGCTCATGAAGGACGTATAGCAATGAAGTATTATGAACAAGCAGGTCTTTTAGAAGAATATACTACTGTTGAATTTGATGAAGAAATAGAAGAAAAGACAGAAGAAGACAAATAGACAATAATAATAACAATAATACAAGTCTGTTTCTTTCAGATCTATGTAATACATAGATTTTCTCCGGTTATGGTTTAATGTGTATAACTGTTTTCATAATGCTTTTTATATGGAAAATTTTCTTTTTTTTCTCCTCATCGATAACCAATTGTATTGATCATGTATAATCCCTAGTTTTCCCACATAACATTTTGACTTGTTTATATTCCACTCATTTTAATGATCAGCAAACAGGACCTTTTCTATGAATAAGCTTTTATTCATATTTTTTCCCACTGAATTATTATATTTTGTCTTGAATTATACTATGATTATTTTCATGTTCATTGCATACACACTTTGTAATTCCATGTATTATTATTACTATTATTGATTTATTCATTGTGCACTACCACTTCACTCATTGTATTATCCGTTCATTTTGAACTGAATGTTTAACGCGCCTCTCATTTTCGTTAATTTCCTCTTTCTATATCACATTGTTTTGTTTTTTACGGACTAAAGATGTGACAATTTGAACAGATATAGATGTATGTATACATAACCAGATCTTGTGTTGTCTATATCTGACTAACTGATTTCATTTTCCCTCTAGTTGCTCCATATCCTCTTTTGGATTTTCCTGTTACTCTGTAGAAATCATCTTTTTTTTTAAAAAAAAAAGTGAACATATAAAAACAAAATAATGTCAGTAACAGCAGTCAATAAAACCATGATTTATTTCTATTGAACAAGTATTGGAATTATTCGTTTGTTTTTTTTTTGGTGACAATTCTCCTGGTTCAGTAAATAAGCGGTATGACACATGTGTGTGAGTATGTTAGTTAAAATATGTCATTTTCGTCTGTTACTTAGGTACACTAAATATACTAGTTATTTGGTTCTACCTTTGAGCATCCGCTACATCCTAATTCGAAGGTAAACAGAAGAGACCAAATCTAAGTTTCATGCTATTCGGCTTTCGTTAATAAAAAGGTATTTACAGTCATGAAAGAGTTGATGTCCTTTCATCGAGTTATGCAGTATATTTGGTTGAGTGTATATTATCAGAAATTCACTTTTTATTATCTTCATATGATATGTGATATTTTAGGGTTAACTAGTTGAACTATATTTGACTGAAGTCAAAATATTTCAGATTTTAAAATAGCAGTGGTTTCAGACTTTTAAAATCTTGAAATTGATTTAATTCAAAGATATAAACATCTACTTATTATTAGTTTTCGAACGTAGAAGTAAACTAAACTGACAAATAACGTTGAATAACTTTTCACTTACTTACTTACGCCCGTTACTCCTCGTGAAGGAGCATAGGCCACTCACCAGCATTCGCCATCCAACCCTGTCCTGGGCAATCCTTCCCAGCTCCTGCCAGTTGTTATTCATCTTTTTCATATCTGATTCTATTTCCCGACGTAATGTGTTCTTTAGCCTTCCTCGTTTCCGTTTCCCTTCACAATTCCAAGTTAGGGCTTGCCTCGTGATGCAGTTTGATTATTTGCGTAATGTATGTCCTATTGACATGATTGATGGACTCTTTTATATTTAATTATTTATTACAGTAAAGGAAATGTGTTAGGATTAGAGTACTAGTAAATGTTATATAACCATATATAATCATAAACACTAATGTAGATAACGTTTTAAATTCAAATCTCGAAATCTTTTAGAATATTAATGGTTCAGATCATGAGTCAGTTGAAGCTAGACCACCGTGGAAAACCTGGAAGCACTGGACGGCCGTTTCGTCCTATTGTGGGACTCCTCAGCAGTGCGCATCTACGACCTCTCCTCCTGCGAGATCCGAACCCAGGACCTACTGGTTTCGCACGCGAGCGCTTAACCACTAGATCACTGAGCCGGCCGGCATCCAACGGTGTTAATGTGTAACTTCAACTAATCCACGAAATTGAGCTACACACTCACCGTTGTCTTCAGTGATTTACTATCTCACAACAGACCTGGTTGAACTCCACTGGTCACTACTCACTAGAACTCGTGAAGCTAGTCACTAGTGACCATATGTTGATTAATATCTCCACAAAACCCATCTTTTAGAATACTCTAGAAAATCTATCAATCATATCAAATGTTATGTACATTTTCGTTTTATTTCTTTTCTTTTCCATGAAAAGTTAATCACTTTCTTATCGTTATTTTAAGAATCTCTAGTTTATTTATACCTACCCTTTAATCTTAAGTACAAGTTATCGGTCACTAGATTTTGAATTTCGCGCAGAAATCTGAGAACTATTATCTTAAATCTGATCGATTCAGCAGTATATGTTTACTTTCATCATATCTATGTAAATTAAATGTTTATTCTTTTGTGTTTAAAGAAATGTTCATGAATATTTGTTTAGTACATTACGCCTAACTAGTTCATGTACGTTTGTATCATTTTTTTTCACGAATGTACTAGTTATTTGGTTTTCCTTAAATGATGATTAGAATAAGGGGATGTTTATTGTCAGTATTTCATTTAGATGTGAAGATGTAATTTATTTCCTTTCTAAATGTCATTTATGTTAGTATGTAATCGAAAGTAGGATGTGTTGTAGATTATTTTTTTATTTCTTTATAGTCCAGTTAGTAAATCTAACGGATCAGTAATACTTTGATTCTAACTGACATTCATGAAAATTCATTCTGGCTGTATCAAGATACCAGGATCTCAAAGGTGTCCTGTTTAAGTCTGTATTGTGTAGCTGTTTAAATTCTTATATTTCACATCATCGTAAAGACTGACAATTAGCTACAAGGAAAAAGCAGTAAGAAGTTAGAGAGAAAAAGAATAGTTGGAGATACTGAGCAAAACATGCAGAACAAGCATGAATCTTCTGGAACAATGGATTACTGATTTCAAAAAGTGCAATTTTGAGATTTTGCCAAATAAATCCGACGTATTCTGGTGTTCAATATTTAGTCCGTTTCTACATTTAGTTTACTTTATTCCATTGCAAGTACAGATGTATTATTCACAAGATTGCAGAACTTGACCAACTGACACTAGCCTAATGTCAATTCTTGAGGAGTCATATAAATCTAGTCGTCATAAAGGTAACAAAATGACGGGTTTTATTTATGGTTACAGATGTAATGACGTTATACAGCAAATCTAGTAATCTTGTAAACTACTGCATCAATTTAGCTGCATATCTATGAATTCTTTTCATTGAGCAAGTAATTCCATCCATCGTTGTGATGCATATTTCAATAAATGAAAGTCTAATGTCCACCAGTTATCTTGATAGATATCAACGTTTAGCTCATTTTCACTGGCGATGATTTTTGTTTACTATTGTTTTTATTCCTGTGGAAATTGGAATCACAAGTCGTGGAGTGAGTAAATGTTGTTATTTGGAATTCCCTTGAATGTGTTCTTTAGCTCCTCCAGCGACTGAAGTGCCACTCAAAATAGTATACTCAGGAATGAATTCCCCCTTTTTGTTACAACATTAGACGGTGAATATAAGCTCGTGCAATCATGATTATAATAGCTAATTGTAAGAAAGACAGCAATCACTCCACAAATAGTTGACTTTTTACATATATCTTATAACAATAGCAATTAATAATATCAATTTTCAAATTATTTAACTATAGATGTGATTGGTTGCATAAAGTAAAATGTGTAATTAGTAACATTCAACAATAACTGCAAAACTAAAATAACGTGTGCAGTTCAACCACGTCGGGTGAGATTGTTGTAACGGGTGACTGCAGGTTAGATGCGCAGCGTTTTACTGATCGATTACAGTGACACGGAAAACATGTAGTGAACGACCTAGTGCCCTGATTGGTCCCGCTCCCCTGTCTAGCCCAGCCAGTTGAGTCAAGAATGCAAGTCACAGCCTCTGAGATATGAATCATTATATTTCAGACATACTCTATTTATGTACCAAACAAACAAACCACATCGTACCATAAAATAGAAAACAACATTTACACAATAAAAGACTAATATTTGAACGAAGAATATTCTTTTCGATAAATTCTCTTCAGGTTCTACAATTATATATCCAAATTATTAATCCGAAAAATGGCCAAGTTAAGGGTAAAGTACATCGTTTAGAGTATGTGAATTTAGGATTGTGATAAACAAAATACAATAAAATTGTTAATGTTAATATGACTAATATAAAATGTTAACTTGAATCTGTGTATATGTATATGGATATATAATTGTAGAACCTGAAGAGAATTTATCGAAAAGAATATTCTTCGTTCAAATATTAGTCTTTTAATATGACGGGGATTTTTAAACGATTAAAATGTTGTGAACAACCCATTGCGTTGAAGGTGCTCAATGAGTTCCTGAAGTATAACGTAAAGTTCACTGAAACGAGAACTACTATTGAATTTATCAATAGATGCATCGAATCAGGTCATTATCCTAAATTGTACTACACGTCACTTCGACGAAACGGGGTCTATCCCAATAGAAAAACACTGAAACGCCACGCCCTAAACCAGATTGACGCCTTGCATTCAGACATAAATGATATGCAGATGAACGTTTCTCGCAGAAAGTATGCAGTAGATAACCTAACTGATGATTTGAAAATACCTTTTATGGACTATGTTAAAAACCTTATGGATCAGAGATCAGGGAAGAAACTCATCCAGCTACTGAAAGGTCTGGAAAATCAAACGGTCGAAAGCAAATTTCCAACAGACTGTAAAAGGTATGTACATAATTTATCAAGTGTCGAACTAGATAAAGAAAATCTAGAGGTATTATCCTTAGGTCTAAAATTCTGTGATACTCGTAATAACTGTAACCACATCGATACAGATATACAGTTCGAGAATCTTTATAATCAGACACGGGATTTAGTTGTGAATTCTGATCTGCAATTAGAACATTTTAAATCAACTCTTGTAGACTGCTGTTACCAATATAAGAACAATAAATTTAGTTACAAAAGCATTCTCACAAAGAAGCATAAGGAAGCTATTAACCTACTTCTTAAGAATGAGACGTTACTGATTACAAAACCTGACAAAGGTTCAGGTGTCGTTCTTCTTAATAAAAGTGATTATATTGAAAAAATGAGTACAATCTTAAATGACAAATCAAAGTTTCAAAAAACAACTGACCAGAAAGATTTGAATAATAAGATAGAGAATGAGCTTACTAGATCTTTGAAGAAGCTCAGGGACCAACAGGCTATCCCATCGGGTTTATATGAAATGATTAAACCAGTGGGAACCCATCTGCCGAGATTGTATGGATTGCCAAAGGTGCACAAAACGGGGGTCCCATTAAGGCCTATTTTAGATATGTATAACTCTCCTTACCATACTATAGCTAAATGGCTGGTAACTATATTAAAACCTCTACACGAAAAGCTTGTAAAATATAGTGTTAAGGATGTGTTCCAATTTGTTGATAAAATCAAAAACGCAAATACGTTGGGACTAAAGATGATGTCATTGGATGTAACATCGTTATTCACAAACGTCCCACTCATAGAGACTGTAGAATATATAGGTGAACAGCTGATAGAAAATGAAATTGAAACTACGGTCCCTATTAGCGTCGTGAAAGAGTTATTACTCAAATGCACCATGAATGTAAATTTCAAGTTCAACGGTGAAATATATAGACAAACAGATGGTGTTGCTATGGGTTCACCACTGGGCCCTATACTAGCTGATATTTTTCTAGCCAAACTAGAAAATGGTCCACTGAAAAAGATTATTCAGAACTTCACATTTTACTGTAGATACGTGGA